ATTTCTTCTTTGTTTGCCTCAATTTTTGTCTTCATTTCTCTAAGAGCTCGATTTGTTTCCTCTTGGTTCGTCTTGATTTCTTTGGCTATTTCTCTGAGGGCTTTGTTCATTTCATCTTTATGGGCCTCTAATAGCTGGAGAAACATAGTTTTGAGGTCGTTTTCTTTTATATCTAGTGAATTGAAGTGTCCATTGTTTTGTGGGGTTGCTGGTGAGGTCATTATGTCCTGATTTTTGTTGGGAGTGTTCTTACGTCTGCTTCTAGCCATCTGGTTTTTTATAACCCTCACTGTTTGTTCCTCGAGTTTGTAGTTTGGGCTATGATCGTCTCTGTTTTCTGGACTGTTTTTTCAGGAAGATGAGAGAGGTTCGCTGGTTTGGGAGTATGCGTTTTGGTTTCAGTTTTGCCTAAGTAAGGAATGGGACCCTGGCGCTATTCGCATGCGCTTTTAGCGGGCGCAGTGTGCATGCATGGATTCTCTGACTATTGCAGTGGCCTGCAGGCCACTATTATGCTGTTCTGTCTGAGATCCAGGGATTGTTTGCTTGGATTACACTGGTGGACCCACAAGGCATAGGCTACAATGTTGGGGTCGCTATCCCAAGAATCCCTATGATGCCCACGCTAGGGGTGTGGGTGGCAGGGATCTCGTCTGGTTGCTTCTGTGGAGAGGCCCCGGGTCTGGGGCAAACTCTCCCTAGAAGGCTCACTCACCCTCATGCAGGACCAGTTGGAATGCACAGGGGTTCCCCTTGCTCTCTACTCTCTGATTTGGTCCTGCTGTGGAAAATGCGCGGGTAGGCTAACAGTCAGTTCTGTGACCCTGTGGCCGCAGGACTCTGTGTCCACCTTTCCTGTGTGCTGCCTCTCTTTCCTTTCCTTCTGCCAGGAGGGGTTATGTTGACTGGTCCTGGGGTAGCGCGGAAAAGAGTTAGGTTGAGTGTTCTCAATCCCAGATCTCTCTGCCAGAAGCAGCTTGGCAGAAGAACCTATGTTTGCTGATCCCAAGAGAGTACCAGGTAGGGTTAAGTGTCCTCAGATTCAGAGCTTGAGTTTCTCTGCTAGGGGCTGCTCGGTGAGCTGGAGAGGGGGTGCTGTGTCCTGTGGCAGGCTGCCTCTTTGTCCTTCCCCTCTGACCTTCCCCTCTGCTAGAGCAAGCTTATGGTGGAGCTCTCAGGGGAGTGCCAGAAGGGGTTGGGATTTCTCAGTCCAAATCCTGAGCTGGGGTTTCTCTGCCAGGGGCCGGGGGTCGCCGGTGCTAGGACTTGGTGCTAGTCCTTATTGAGCTGGACCCGGAAGAATCTCAGGACGTGTTGAATGACCACAGTCCCAGATCCCGAGCTGAAGATTGTTCACTAGGAGCAGCTGGCAGCACTGGGGACCCGGTGCTGTAAAGCCGCTGTGCACCTCTCTAACCCTCAGCTCCGCCACGACAGGGTTATGGAGGCGTTCTGGATCTTATTGAGCTGGGCCTGGGAGAGTCTCGGGACGCGTTAAATGACCAGTTAAATGACACAGTCCCAGATCCCAAGCTAAAGTTTGTTCACTATGAGCAGCCGGCAGCACTGGAGGCTGGGCGCTATGAAGCCGCTGTGCGCCTCTCTAACCCTCTGCTCCGCCGTGGCGAGGTTATGGTGGCGTTCGGGTTCTTATTGTGCTGGACCAGGAGAATCTCAGGATGCGTGGAATGACCACAGTCCCTAATCCCGAGCTGAAGTTTGTTTGCTAGGAGCAGCCGGCAGCACTGGGTTCAGGGCAGTGTGAAGCCGCTATGCGCCTCTCTGTCCTTCCGCTCCACTGCAGCAGGGTTATGGAGGCTTTCGGGGAGTGCCCGAAAGGATTGGGTTTTCTCAGCCCCAATCTCGGGTTTTGTTTTTTTTTGGTGGGAGCTGCAGCTCTCGCTGGGGCTGGGGTACAGACAGTGTGGTCCATGGCAGATTCTGCTGGACACCTCCTGCCTCCTCCGAAGAGGGAGTAGGGTTTTGGGTGCACGGAAGTGCCTGGGGATCACCTCTCGGGGTGTCTCCTCCCGGAGGAGTCTGCCATGACCTGATTCTAGAAGGACTCAGATCAAGGTTAGTCTCTTTCTTCTTGGAAGTCTAGATAACTCTGTTCTGGGTTGATCAGCCCCTTCACTCACCAATTCCTGCGTTGTGGGTCCTCTCCCCTTCAGCTAAGCTGCACACTAGCCGCCGCCATCTTGGAAGCTCCAGCTCCTTTCTTAAAGGGAACAAGAGATAGTTTATTCTGGAGCTATTTTAAGTGACTATGGCTCAGTAAAAGAGATTTAGATAACCTCAAATTCCGTGTTTCAATGTGAAAGCAGTTTCATGAAGCTTTATATTTTTACAGAAGAAAGAAAACCATAAAGGCAGTTTAAAATAAATTATTGGGTATGCTAAAGAGGCAATTACAATGATATGGGAAAAACTTTTCAATAGACTAAGATGATACCTGATGACATTCTTAGCTTTCAGGTTGGTGGAAGCTAGTGGTCTGCTAAGTTAATAGATTCCAAAAGGTTCCTGTTACTTCACAAGATGTTAATTCTGACACAGAGGTAGGGAAAGAGTGGCTGCTGTGGAGAGCTAGAGTTGGACCTGCAATATCCCAATTTCTTTAGTAACTGGAATTCTAATCACTAAACCAGTCTCTGCATATACAGATTCTCTTCAGGAAAATTTCTCTCACAAAGTTTCTATATTAACAAAGCAAAGAAAGTCATAATCAAGGCACTTTTGAAATATATTCATGGAAACATTAATTAGGTGGGCTTGAAGCAAAGCAGAGAAATGTGTGCTATAGGCCTCAGATGCTGTCTGATGATATTCTTAACTTTTTGATTAGTAGAAACCAGTTTTTTTTAAGTTAATATGTTCCAAAAATGTTTTATCTATTAGTCACAGGATATTTGGTCTGACACAGAAATGGACAAGAAATGGCTACTTAAAAGCTTAAAGATAGCCCAAAATAAACTGTTAATTAGGCTCTGAATCTGTAAAATTGTGAGGGACAGACTCCTTCCACCCCAACCCTTGCCCACATAATACAATTAGCCAAGAGATTGAGACTATCCTTGGTGCAGGAGTCATCTCTGGAGAACCACTTTATTCTCTCAAGCATTGAAGACTTTTTCAGACCATTATAGAACCAGGGCTTAGGCAATAATTGATGAAAGGAGGCTATATCTAGAACAGGTAGGACCATGGCTTCTTGGTTGTAATTAACTCTCGCTGTTTGTTCCAGTTCTTACTCTGTTTAAACCTGAAGCTCCCATCAGTACTCAGAAGGCAGGCTTTGGGGTCAATGGGGCCCCTTTTCTGTTCCATTTCCCTGTGTGTTCACTTTGAATAACTCTTCTGCTTTTCACCATCTCTTTAACTGGCATTCTTGGGAGTGGTGGCCAGAACTACACTATTAGGCCCGCTAGAGTCCTGGTATAATAGCAGATTGGACTGAATTACAGAAAAAAAGGTGTTTGAAGGTTTGGGACAGTAATTTATGTCTTAAAGTGGGATAAACTAGGTTATACAGACTCTCTTTGATTGATTAACATGCTTATATATAGAGGTGAACAAGTGAATTAGTATAAAAGAGACAAATAAAAATTAATGAAGTCAGTTTATCACTATAATGAAATAATTAAGATAACTTCTGCGATAAAATATTTATTTCAGCACACAGCATTGAGGGTCCAGTTTCTGATTGTGTAATTCTACTGTTCTGGGCCTGTGCTGAGATCAGGAGCATGTGGAAGAACAAAATTACTCATATCAGAAGCTAATGAGCCAAAGCAGAGAGAAGAGTCAAAGTCCTATATCTCCTCAAGGGCACAACCTCAATGACCTAAGGATTTCCCAGGAGGACAACCCTCTTAATAATTCTGATGCAATCATGCCACCCTGGAGACCAAGCCTTTAAAACATTGTTGTTGTGGGAACAAACTATCCATATTTAAAACATAGCAGTAACACACACACTCTCCAGAGAACAGTTTTCTTTTTTCTGCCATAGCATTATTTTGATTCAGTCTCAGGAATTTTATTTTTTCTTGGCCATCCATAGTACTTGAAGATTTATAGGCTTTGAGATAGTAGGTGTAAATCAGCCTTGATTTTTAAGAGTATAGTTCTTTATAAAGAATTATCAGTTTACGAAGCCCTGGACTCCAGTTTTTGTCCCTTGATTTGATAAGACCATCACAAGTTCAAAAGACTCTTGGTTCCCTACTACTGGTTTGGCTCCCTCTTCCCATAGAAGAGTAGCCCAGTGAACAAACACTTTCTTCATTTTAAGTATACTTAGGGGTTTTTGTGAACTAGTTCATAAAAACCATCATATAATAAATATGAGGTGTCTGTCTTTTACATGTCTCAAAGTACTTGAAATTATATTTGGAATTATGTATTCCTTGAAAATTAGTTTTCAGGTAATTATTTTATAAGACAGACTTATTTGTAATTTTTTAAATTCTTAAAAGTTCTTGGTCAAATTCAGCTTCTTACATATTTTATATGGATAGTAATGGTCTATATTTTCACATATCCATTACATTTTCAAAATGCTTAATATATAGTAATTTACAGTTTTACCAATTTTCTCGTTTGCAGACATATTCAAATTTTATTTTGAACTATCCACTTGTGTTTTATCTGCCCCTGTTTTTTCTTAATGAATATTATTTTTTTTAAACTTCATTTCAGTTAGCAACAAACTTTGAAATTTGGGCATGAAGAAAAATCTGGAAGCCAATATAAACTCTCTAATATGATCAAATACGTATCTCAAATGAAAAGGTCAATTATATTTATAACTGCATGTGTTTACAGGAAATAAGTAGGAAAAGCAGAACGCATGCACTTAAATGGCAACATTTTAAAACTCACAAGTCAAATATTAAAAGAGTAAATAATGAGTGTGAATACCTTCAGTTCAGTGATTCATTAGATTTTCCCTCTATCATTATTTAAATAAAATTTAATCTGCTTGCTTTGCCCAGTGATTCCTTGTGAGCAACCCCCAGCCATTCCCAATGGAGATTTCGGTGTTGCCAGAGAAGATTTTCATTATGGAATGGTGGTTACCTATCGCTGCAACTCTGATGCAAGAGGGAAGAAGCTTTTTAACCTGGTGGGTGAGCCCTCCATACATTGTACCAGCAATGATGGTCAAGTTGGAGTCTGGAGTGGTCCTCCTCCTCAGTGCATTGAACTCAACAAATGTACACCTCCCCATGTTGAAAATGCAGTCATGGTGTCTGAAAACAGAAGCTTGTTTTCCATAAGGGATATTGTGGAGTTTAGATGTCAGCCTGGCTTTACCATGAAAGGAAACAGCAGTGTGCAGTGTCACTCTCTAAACAAATGGGAGCCAGAGTTACCAACCTGCTTCAAGGGTAAGTCTGACCAGAGCTGGGGAAGTCTGCAATGCTGTGGGTTGTTGGAGGACCAGAGATAAGGGTAGTTTCTGGAAAAGCCGACGAACATATGGCGAACAGGTTGAATGAATAAATTTTCCTGGTAAGGAATATGAAATCAGAAGGTATGTGTGTTTGTGTGAGTGTTCATGTACTCTTTTAAGCACATACATTCAAATTGAGGGGCAGAACTAAATGTGAGCAAGGAATGTGATACATCCTTGGAATTATCATATACAGAAGTTCTTTTCATGTATTGCCATCTTCAGCCCCTATCAGTTATTCATATATATAAGTATTTACTAATATGTAATGTGTGATCCATTGCCAATCATACTTAATGTATATGCATTTAATTTCTACAATGAAGCTGTGTAGTATTTACTATTACTTCAGTATTGAGGCTTAGAGGTTAGATAATTTTCCAAGATGAGACACTAACTTGCAGAGCAAAGATTAGAATCCAAGTCTGCCCATCTGCCAGATTCTTCAAGTAAGAAGGCTTTCCTGTAGATAATGGGTTATAAAGCTGTTAGAAGGTCAGGAAGAATAAAAAGAGGAAAACAATGGTGCTAAAGATCAGGGAGCTACTGTTAATTACAAGAATAGAGCTGACACAGCTGGCCCTGCCCTTGTTGACACTGCCATTCTCTGTCATTGCTGACACAGCCAGACCCTGCCACTGCTTCCAGGATAGAGCCAGTCCTTCCTGGTCATTGGTGTTGCTAGAATTTGAGTGTCTGCTGCTCACTTGAGAGTCATCAAGGCTGCCTCAACTGAAGCTGTTTCTGGATGCATAAAGGTCTCTATCATATCTCATGCCCTTAGTTTCATATATATGCTTCCAGGTACCAAAACTTAAATAGCACTCCGAGAGCATTGTTTCTTAACCTGCATGTTGTAACTCCCTTGGCAAACATCTTATATCCAAAAATATTTATATTACAATTCAATAACATTAGCAAAATTACAATTAAGTATCAATGGAAGTAATTTTATGGCTGGGGGGGGGGTTTCACCATAACATGAGGAACTGTATTAAAGTGTCACAGCCATTAGGAAGGTTGAGAACCACTTCCCTAGAACAAAGAAATTATAGTTTTCATGCTTCTACCCATAACAATCAAAAGGTAATATATAGCATAAGGCCGGGAATCAACAGAAATTTTGTGAGCCTAAGTCTTTAAATGACACAGCCCAATGGATTAGTCAAGGGGAAGCTCTTGAGAGGTGAGCCTTCAAAATAAGTATTTTAACATTGATAGTGTTTGAAAATCCTTAAGGAAGTCATTTATTCCAGACCAGTACCTCATCTTTTACTGGGGTATTGATTCAAAGACAAGAGTTCAAAGAGAACTGACTTGAAATGAGGTTTTGAATTTCATTGTTGTTGATTTTGTTTGTTGTTTGTTTGTACGTGTGTTTCCTCCATTTTGCAACTTAATTGTGTTAAGATTCACATGCATGCTCACTCCCTGAGTTCAAAACAATTTTTTCCCCACATATAGAGCTATAGTTGTGATCCTTTTGCATCTGTAATGCAGTTTACCATTGAAGGAAAATTGTTTTCACGCCATGAAACTTTCTTTTCCTCCTTATTATATCAGCTGCCCCTAAAATCCAACACTAGGAGTATACTACAAAACAAAAATCAGTTTTCTTCCAAGCAGAAACTGCTTTACTGCTATAAGCCAAGCTACATTCTCCATGGAGCTGTTTCTCTGCACTGCAGAGTCCTGTGGCCCTGGGACACATGCAGGTCCCTAAGCTGTCATCTGGCTTGACACACATGGCTTGTGTTTTTATTCTCCACACACTGCTATGATTTCTGTTTGGCTCTTTTTCTCCAGTGCAATCCTGTGGTGCTTTCCTGGACCAGCTTCCTAATGGGCGTGTGCTATTTCCACTAAATCTTCAACTTGGGGCCAAAGTGTCCTTTGTTTGTAATAAAGGGTAAGTGTGAGCAGGCCTGATCTGCTGGACATTAAAAACTAAGTCTGAACTTGTCCAAAGTATGGGAAAGTTGCCATGGGGAATATATAACTTCTGATATTGTATGTAAGAAAGACTGATGTCTGGCAGAATTGATAAAAGGAGATATGAAGGAAAAACGGGGACATGTATTAAATAACAGACTAAAAAACAAATATACCTACTAGTTTTAAATACATAGGTAATACACTAAGTGAAAAAAAATCATTTTCTAAATAGAGAATAGCAAGTAATTTTGAGAAAAAAATGTATATTACAAAAGTTGATACAAATAAAAATGTATTTAGCAATGTTTTCAAAAAAAATTAAACCCTCAATATAATTTATAAGAGAAACAAAAAATGAGGTACAGCATTTTAAAACCCAGTTATATATCGATCAGTAATGAACTATGAGCTCTAAAATGGGATCATGGGGGCTGATGTTAATATTTTAGGTGAGGTCATAAAAATTCTTTACAGCAAGCATGCCTCTATGAACTACCAATCATGGACAACAAATAACCTTGTACTTCACAGAATTCTTGCCAGGCACTAAATAGGACAAAAAATATTTAGTAGGGCATAGGGGTTTGACATCCTTTGAGAATTTTGGATGACTTACAGAAGTTGGGTTTTTTCCTCTTTCTGTTTTCTCTCCAGTCTCAGTGCTCTAAAAGGAAAAACAAACAACCAAAACCAAATAACAACAAAAACAAAAACATTTCAAGTCTCTTACAAGCCATGTACTTCACAAGTCACCTGCTTCTCTAAATTACTCAAAAAACATAGCTTATTCTTCAGTAGCTCAGCATGCTGTTGTCAGCTTCCTAGGCAACAATCACAGATACTGAGACATAAGAACAATCTCTGCTTCCTTAGGGCTAGAGTTGGCAAGGTGTTGCCTTGGCAGGCTGGGTTTGCAGTTGTGACAGTGAGCAGTACCAGGTTCCTTGTAGCATGAACAGTGTCTCTGAGTCAAAGTCAAGGATCTGGCTTTGTCGTGACTACTTTCTTAAGTTTAAGCTGGGACTGTTATAAGTCCCTTCACGTTGCAATTCTGTCTTACCCATCTGCTAGAAGCTGTGGTAGTTGAATGGCTTAGCTTCTGCAAGCCCCTTCTACCTGGTTTCATATCCTTAAAATCCTCAAATGCTTTTTTGGCTAGACCTGGGAACTGAGTATATCTGACCAAGACATTTTACAGTCCACTGTTCTTTTCTTTCTTAGGTTTCAATTAAAAGGCAGTTCTGCTAGTTATTGTGTTCTTGCTGGAATGGAAAGCATTTGGAATAGCAGTGTTCCTGAATGTGAAAGTGAGTATATAAACTAATGTTCTTCCTGACTTCTTGTATTTCAACCCACAGCACTTTTTTAATTGATTTGTTTGTTTAATGTGTATGGGTGTTTAGCCCACATGTATGTGAATGTGAGGTGACATATAGGCCAGAAGAGGTTGTAAGATCCACCATGACTGGAGTCACTAATGGTTGTAAGCCACTGTAAGAGTTTTGGGTCGAACCCAGGTCCTCTGAAAGAACAGCCAGTGTTCTTAATCATAGAGCTGTTTCTTCAGTACCAGTGTTTTTTATTTTTGACAATAAATTTTGAGTCTCTTACAGGCCATAGACATGTACTTCATAAGTTGCCTGCTTATCTGAATTACTTAGAAAAGCATAATTTTTCCTTTTCTTCTTTTCTATATGTTTCTAGCATGCTTTTCTAACATTTTGGTCTCTTTCTGCAATTCCCCTCCTTACCATGAGGCTGTGTGTCTATCATGTAGCTGATCTCCATGCTATTTTAACTCAGACAGCATAGGTTTTTAACTAAGACCGCATAGGTTTTTGTACCTTCTCCCTCTTTTCTTTTTTATTCTCCTGTAAGCAGCTGCTAATATTTACAGATTACATGCTCTGGATTTTTTTTTTCCAAAGTCTAAAACATTGTCCTCAAGCTTTAAAAATGAATATATAAAACAACCAATCTTACTAACATCGTTAGTAGCTAGAAATCTATTTGAGCATTTTATGGTGCTTTTCATAGTAAAACTCTATAAGAACATACCACATATATAAATCTTTGCTCTTCAGGAAATTGTTCCTAGGAGCAGTGTAACCAGTGGCTGTTCTATCACCATGCACTAGAGCTCTCTGCCAATGTCTCCGGTTTTTTTGGATTTTTTTACTCATTGTGAAACTGCTCTGACAATGAGACTGATGGTTGATATCAGTAGTCATCAAAGAAAGATCTCATTCCTTTAAGGTGTTTAGTGTACATGGAATGCATTTTAGAAATACGGCCTAAAAATGTAAGCTCCTTTGAGGATAAGGATCTGTCAGTACTCTTCCCCACAGTTTAACCTTGTTGCTGGTAAAAGGCTAAAAATCAAACAATGCTTAGATTCAAGTAAGTATTCAATAAATATATATTAAATAAATGAATTATTCTTTTAAGTGGATATTCCTCTTTAAATATTTGGGTATGTATTTAAAGATCAAATTTCTATTATTCAGAAAACTCAACTATCTGGAACATAAAAGTATTTCTTGTATTGTTGCAATAACTGTTGAGATTGCCTGTCATACTGTCTATCCTAGCAAAGTGGCCACTGTTATCTCCTTATCTTTTAAACTGCACAAAGAATAATAGTCTATGATTACAGAATATCTGTTATGAAAATTAGAGCTCTCACCTTTCCAGAAATCTTTTGTCCAAGTCCCCTAGCCACCCTTAATGAGAGACACACAGAAATGCTGTTGAAAACCTTTCCTATTACAAAAGCAGTGTCTTACATATGTAACTCCAACCTAGATAGGAATATACCCTCTATTCTCATTGGGGAGAACACTCTCACTTGTACAAGTGATGCTCAAGGGAACGGGGTTTGGAGCAGCCCTCCGCCCCACTGTGGACTTCTAGGGCAGTGGCATTATGTAATCTCAAACAATGTAGAATATGTAAATGGGCCCTCATGTTTCTATAATTATTCCATGGAAGTCTTTAGTGCCATGACAACTCTGGATGGTCAGTAAGAAGGAACTTCAGACAGTGTATTGAGACTTTGTGCTGGAGAGAACTAGATTCTGTTACTCTACCTCTTACTAGCTACATCTCTTCCCTATTCTTAACAATAAGTAAAATGAGGTGGCTGTAATATCATTTACTCTCTTCTATTACATTGAGCTTTTTTGTTAGTCAACTTTTCATTACTGTTATAAATACCTAAACTGCTGGGTGTAGTGATGCATACCTATAATGTCAGCACTTGGGGAGGCAGAGGCAGACAGATCTCTGAGTTCAAGGCCAGTCTGGTCTACAAAGCAAGTCTGGGATAGCGAAAGTTACACAGAGAAACTCTGTCTCAAAAAAACCAAGCAACCAAACAAATACATCAATCAATCAATCAATCAATCAATCAATCATCTAAACTAACTTGACTTATAAGAAAAAAATTTATTTAATTCATAGTTTTGGTGATTTCAGTCTGTAGCCAGTTTTCCCTATGCTTTGGGGCCTGTGATAAGACAGAACATCACAAGAGGGAGGGTATGGTACTACAAACTGTTCACCTCATGGTGGAAAAAGTAACAGGAAAGAGGCAAAGATCACAATTCCTCACCTTCCATAGTACACCCCTAATGACCTAAAACCTTCTAGCCCATCTCTTAAAGGTAACACTACTTCCCTACACTGGGACCAAGACTGTAGCACATATGCATTGGAGACATTCCACATCCAAAATAGCACTTTTTACATATGATTCTCCAACTCCCTAGGCCTAGAGGGCATGTCTCCAAATTAAAATGTACTTCAGACCTATTCGTTCCATAGCATGTCAGCCACCCCCAGAAATCCCACATGGGAAGCACACCACAAACAATGAGAATGATATTTCTCTTGGAAAAGAAGTTTTTTGTTTTGTTTTTGTTTGTTTCATTGTTTTTTAAACATTGTGAGCCTGGCTGTGAACTCCTTGGGGCTGCTTCTCTGCGTTGCACAATGTAGGAAGACTAGAGTCCTGAAGCCCCCATATGTGTGGTGTCTAGACTCTCATCTGTTTCTTAAATCATTCTGTTTGTCGCTAACATGGCATACTTAGTCCCTTTTTTCTTCTTTAGTGAAACCTGTGATGTTTTCCCTGGGTATACTGTCCCCTCTGAATCGTCAGCTTGGGCCAAAGTGTCCTTTGTGGTGAAGGGTGAGTGTGACTCAGAATAGAGATCAGAGACAGAATGCTAGATAGTGACTCTTAAGGAGTACAAAAAGAAAATCCCAAGGAGGTCAAACTCTGGAAGGGTCATTTCAAAACAAAAGTAGGGGACACTAGTATCAAGAGTCAAAGAGAAAGCATAGAACTTGATGTCACGTATAAACATAGATACTTTTGGACTTTTATTGGAGCTAGAGGTAAATGGATAGTTATTTAAAATGAAAGGGATCCTTGATGAATGAGACAAAATTTGCACAATAATAAGCCAGACAGGATTGTTTCAGGGTACTTAAAACCAATCAGTAGTAGAACTTGTAGCAGTATATGGATAAATATATTTTGATCCAATCAGACATCTTCTCAGGTATCACAGTGGCCAATAGCAGTGTGTTTGATGATAGTTTTTAGTTGTTTATGAGTTCATTATTGTTGGTAGCAGATTCTATAGGTCTGTAGAAAGCAGCAATATTGGGCAAGAAAGCAGTTATCTTGAATAAATTTCAAGGCATCTACCATTTATGAAATCTACTACCCACAATGATTTTGTTAAATTCCAGAACAATTACAAATTTCAGGACAATAGAACCTAACAATAAGCTGGCCATCCAGATGGCAAACACTCATCCATTTCTTTCTTTTTAAAACATCTTGCTTAAGATGCTTCTGTGCAAACAGTGTTTGTATGTGCCATTTCTTCTCCTGATCTACATGGACCCAGGGCTAAAACATGGTTGTCCTAACTTATCTTTCTAAAAATTTTTCTGCTGCATAGTTGATAATCAAAAGTGTCCCATGTTCCTTTACTATATATAATAAATGGAAGTCAAAAAAATTTAAAGCATAAGAAGTTTGAAGGGTAACAACAGTTCTTTATTGAAAATATGCCCTATTTTGTCAAGGACAAAATTTGTGATTACAGATGTTTGTATAATAGCAATTTCAGTTAACCACAAAGTACTAATTTCCTTGTGATTTTTTTTTCTAATTGTAGAAGTGACATGTAGCCTCCCACAGAATATGAATGGAATCCAGACGGGGTTGAAAATAAAAGAAGAATATTACTATGGAGATAATGTAACCTTGGAATGTGAGGATGGGTATACTCTAGAAGGCAGTTCCCAGAGCCAGTGCCAGTCAATTGGCAGCTGGTATCCTCCTCTGGCCAAATGTGTATCACGTAAGTGCAAAATGCATGGTCACTGACTGCCCAGTCATCTATTCTGGTGCCTACTGTAATGGGGTGTTACGATGTGTAGTGATGAGGGAGATGAGAATGTGTAGTCTGAAAATTTGACAAGTTGGAATATTAGTAAAATCATTTGAGGGGGTGTGACTGTAGGAGTCTTTTGCAAGATTTTCTAAAGGGATATCATTTGCATACAAAGGCAGAAAAATAACCTTAATTACCAGAGACCAAGAAATGGGGCTGTAGTAAATTAATTTATTGTAGTAAATATTATCTTTACCAGCTTTTACTTTCTACCAGGATATCTATTAATGATAATCCCAGAATTTAAGTCCTGTGAATTCTAAGTCCAGTGAGCCATTTGTCATGTCATTCTCTCACAAATTCATTATCTTTGTCTAGAAAGCGTAAAAGTATCTTGCTTAGGTCATCTATCTTATGAAGGGCTTTAATAAAAGTTGAATGTTCTCTGTGTTCTTTAGCCTTGTTAATTAAGTAACTAATCAGTTGAAACAAGGTCCCTTCTTAAACTTTTCCTCAACACTAGGTGCTAGGCAGTAAAACACAAGCCACCAAAATGCTCACAACATGAAAGCAGCCCCTTGTTTCTGTCTTCACGCCTCTGTCATTTTTCTTCAGGCTCCCATTGCTCTACCTCCCTCCATGTCATTCCACCATTGCATCACAGAGGTTTCTTTATGGCCTGAGAGCTAAAATAGCATATCAGTGGGTGGAGCAGGCTTTTTGAACTGTGGACCTTCCACACTATAGACAGCTGCAGGCCACTTCTCTCACTCTTGTAGCTGAAAGAGTTTTATTTAATACCATGAACACATTAAAATTTGGAAATCATGTTTCTCTGAATTCTGTAGAAGAGTCACCCTCTGTTGGCAACTGGAGGGTGTTGTAGCTTATGCATATCAAGGAATAGCTGAGCAGAATGAGGAATGAATAACTTCTTGGGGTGGTATGTCACTCGATGGTAGATAACTTACCTATCATGTTGAAGGCAGTAGATTCCATCCCTAGCACCACAAAATTTGGAGAAATAAATAACCTAAGTGCGAGGCTTTTTCTTCCCTGCCTGTTCAAGTTCTTATTTATGATACTAAGATTGTTCAAGATCCATTTTTACATCTAATTTCTACAATGCAGTCAATCTAATTACCAATAGTATCTCTAAATTGTAAACTTGACACTTCCTTAGTATGAAATTATGTACATTTCTTTGGCAAAAGTTAATGGGTTAGCTGAATAAGAGCCTTTAGAGTATATAGTAGATCTAGATGAAACAGAAAGTTCTTACATCTGGGGAATCAGCACTACAGATATTATATCAAAACAAAATATGAAGTAACAACAGCAAATATAAATAAGCTAAAATTTTATAGTAGTGAAATAAATGTTTTTATAAGTAAAAAATAATTGTCTTATGAATATAATGAGAAAATGTCATGAAAGTTATTAAATAATACAGTTAGCATTTCAAGAGAGGTTAGGACATTTTTATCTTAAATACATACAAGATACGATATAGAGTTAAAGTTGTGTAAATTTTATAATAGTATATTTATCAAGCAACTTGGGCTTAGGATGTGACTAATTTGTAAACTATGTGTTTATTAGCAGGCACAAACCCTACTTTTTTGCTTTTTTTTTTTAAATTGGTGATAGGGTTGTTTTTTTTTTCCATACAATGTATTCTAATCAAGATTTCTTGTCCCTCATCTAGATCCTCTCCACCTCCCTACCCATCCAACTCTATACATTTTTTTTTCTTTAAAAACAGGTAAAAAAAAAGAACAGAATAACAAAACAAAGAAAAAAAAAACACAAGAAGCACATACATACAGATGCACGCCCACATAGAAAACCCATAAAACCACAAAATCAGAAACCATAATATATAAAAGCAAAAGATCAGTAAAGTTTTTTTTTTTTAATGCCCAGACTAATCAATATGAGACAAAACAAATGAAACAAAACAAAACAAAACAAAAATCTTCTAATACTACTGAGTTCATTTTGAGTTAGCCAGGAGTCCTATCCTTGAGTGTAGTTTGTATATCCAGTGAAACTCTACTGGAAAAAACTAATTTTTCCTTTGTGAGCTGTTGTCAACTGGAGATGGCTTCTTGGTAGTGATGGGAGATCATTCCCTCTCAGTGCTGGGACCCCATCTGGCCTGAACCTATGCAGACTGTGTACACGCTACCACATTACATACAAGTAACATTTCTGTGGCTTTTTCTCTCTTTCAGGCTCAAATAGTGGCCTCATAGCTGGTAAGTCCTGTGATGGGTTTACTGAGAAGTTTTAATGTCTTTAACAGTAAGCATCTACTTATAACAAATGATATGTAAAAAGAATAAAAATATCTTTTAAGTTTAATTAAAATTAGTGTAAGTTTAGGACAGCAGTTCTCAACATGTGGGTCATGACCCTTTGGGGGTCGAGAGACCCTTTCACAGGGGTCACCGAAGGAAAATATGGATATTACATTATAATTCATAACTAGAAAAGTTACAGTTGTGAAATAGCAACAAAAATTTATGGTTGGGGTCACTACAACATGAGTTGCCAGATCAAAGGACCACAGCATTAGGAAGGTTGAGAACCACGGGTGTGGTGTGTCATGAGATTGGAACCCTCGTGCACGTTGAGGAACCTCATCTTTGAATTTTCAGTGAGTAATCATTCTTCAGTCATCAATTCTTTATTTTAACATGGCTGGAGAGGCAATTCCCTCTTTGCTTTGTTCCCAGAAATATGTTTCTGGGTAATCATCCTGATAGTTTGTACTGTGAAAGTCATAAGACCATCATATGAGTGAATTTTGTGTCTGGAGATAGAAGATTATGTTCACTTTTGTTTCTGTTGCTGTGATAAGATACCATGACAAAAGCAACTTAGAGGAAAAAGGAGCTTTTAATGTTAGCTAATAATTCCTGGGTATAGTCCATAACTGTTGGGGAAGTCAAGGTGATAGGAACTTGAAGCTACTCACATCCACAGTCAAGAACCTTTCTCCATTCTTATACAGCTCTTGATCCCTTGCAGGAGAATGATGCCACTTAGTATGTGTCTATATGGGGCCCCCCTCTTAATACATGTAATTAAGATACCTCCCTCAGACATGCCCACAGGCCAACCAGACCCAGATGAGACTCTTCTCACGTGATTCTAAACTATGTCAAGTTGACCAGTTAACCAACACAAATGGATTTATACAGAGTTTGATACCAAGGGGATTTCTATCGCATGAAGCAGCCTGTCTCATGCCTTCCATTAAAGACTTGGGTAAGCTATGTGTGCTGAGCCCAGCAGCACCATTGCTATGAAGGGCTGTGTTGTTAGAAAGAAGCTTATAGAATGCTCTGGTCATAACTCTAGTTCTGTGGTTGTAGGTCTAATGTTATCGATTAAAACCTGGGTAGAATAGAACTGGGGTAAAGTTACATGTAAAAGAACCATTCATAACCCACAGTGGGAATAGCTAGTAAGACAGAGTTTAAGACTTGTGTTGTGTTTTTCACTTTTTTGTTTTCCTGTTTAGGAATTGTTGTTGGAGTTGGAATAATCTTTATTTCATTCATCGCTGTTTCTTATTGGATGATTCGGAAATATAAAAAACGGTGAGTATAACCACGTTTTCCAAAAAACTGTAGTAGGGAGCTGTGGCCTACACCTGTACTCTTAACATTCTCGTGGCTTAGACAGGATAGGCATGAGTTTGAGGTTTGTTTGAGTGACAGAATAATACCCTGGCTCAAGCAAAACAAAATAAAAATAGTTTGGGGAAGGTGGCTTAGTGGTTAAAGTACCTGGATGACAAGTATGAGGACCAAAGTTTGGATCCCCAGCACCCATTTAATGTCATATGGTCATTGTGGCTTTCCCATAATTGCAGTGCTAAGGAGGTGGGGACAGTGGATCTCCTGGAACTAGTTGACTAGACAAACTTGCCATATAAGTTTACTCTGAGTTTTCATGACCTTGTTTCAGTGGAATAAAGTAGAAAACAATAGAGGAAGACTCCTAACACATACATAACATAACATACATACACCCTCACACATAAAAATACATATATGTGTGCACGTGTGCCTGCTCACACACATACATACACACACACACACACACACACACACACACAAAGGGAAAAGGAGAGACAGAGAGACAGAGACAGAGAGAGATAAAGGAAAAATTGAATCTCTAAATTTATTTTCCTTCTTTTGGAAAGCAAAGTGAATTAAAAGAAAGCATAGAACATATGTTAATTCTCAGGAAGGTGGCCTTGGTTACACAAATAGTATATCTACACCAAAGGAAATACATATAAAACAGACACTTTAAATTTGTGTGTGCGTGTGTGTGTGTGTGTGTGTGTGTGTGGTTTGTTGATGCTTAACTTCTTGAGGTCTGTATATATGTTTGATATTAGCTTATCTATTGGATGTGGAGTTGGTGAAAATCATTTCCCATTCTGTAGGCTGCCATTTTGTTCTATTTATGGTGTCTTTTGCCTAGCAGTGTCTTTTGCTTTACAGTTTCATGAGGCTCCATTTATTGTCATTCTTAGTGCCTGTGCTATTGCGGTTCTGTTTAGGAAGTTGTCTCCTGTGCCAATTAATTCAAGACTAATCCCTACTTTGTCTTCTGTCGGCTTCAGGGTGTCTGGTTTTATGTTGATGTCTTTGATCCGCTGGTATTTGAGTTTTGTGCAGGGTGATAAATCTACTTGCATTCTTCTACATGCAGACATCCAGTGAGACCAGCACCATTTGTTGAAGATGCTTTCTTTTTCCCATTGTATATTTATGGCTTCTTTCTCAAAAGTCAGGTGTTCATAGGTGTGTAGATTTATGTCTGGGTCTTTAATTTGATTCCATTGATCAACATGTCGTTTTTATGCCAATACCATGCTGTTTTTATTACTATATCACTGTAGTACAGCTTGAAATCAGGGCTAATGATAGCTCTGGACTTTCTTTTATTCCTCAGGATTGTTTCAGTTATCCTGAGTTTTTTGTTTTTCCGTATGAAATTCAATATTGTCCTTTCAAGGTCTGTAAAGAATTGTGTTGGAATTTTGATGGGAATTGTATTGAATCTGTAGATTGTTTTTGGTAGATGTCCATTTTTACATTGTTAATTCTACTTATCCTTGAACATGGGAGATCATTCTATCTTCTGAAATCTTCTTTAATTTATTTTTTCAAAGACTTGAAATTTTTATCATAAAAGCCTTTCACTTGCTTAGATAGTGTTACCCCAAGATATTTTATATTATTTGTGGATATTGTGGAGGGGTTTCTTTCCCTGATTTCTTTCTCAGTTAGTTTGTCATATGTGTATAGGAGGGCACTGATTTTTTTTAAGTTAATCTTGTATTAAGCCATATCGCTAAAAGTTTTTATTAGCTGTAGATGTTCCCTGGTAGAATTTTTGAGGTTGCTAATGTATACTCTCATACTTTGACTTCTTCCTTTCCAAGTTGTATCTTCTTTATCTCTTTCAGCTGTCTTATTGCTCTAGCTAAAACTTCAAGTACTATATTGAATAAATATGGAGAAAGGGGACAGCCTTGTCTTGTTCCTGAGTGTAGTGGAATTGCTTTACATTTCTCTCCACTTAATTTGATATTGGCTATAGGCTTGCTGTACATTACCATTATTATGTTTAAGCATGTCCCTTATATCCCTAATCTCTCTAATACTTCTATCATGAAAGGGTATTGGATTTTATCAAAGGCTTTTCAGCATCTAGCGAGATGATCATGTGTATGTGTGTTTTCCTGTCATTTTGTTTATGTGGTGGATTACATTGACTGATTTTCGTATGGCAAACCATTCCTTCATCTCTGGGATGAAGGCCATTTGATCATGAGGTATGATTTTTTGATATGTTTTTGTATTCGGTTTGTGAATAGTTTGTTGAGTGTTTTTATGTTCATAAGGAAATTGGTCTGTAATTTCCTTTGATGAATCTGTGTGGTTTGGGTATCGGTGACTGTGGCTTCATAAAATACACTTGGCAATGTTCCTTCTGTTTCTATTTTGTGGAATAATTTGAGGAATATTGATGTTAACTTTTCTTTGAAAGTCTGGTATGCATCTAGCCCTGGGCTTTTTTGTTTGGTTTGGTTTGGTTTGTTTGGGAGACTTTTAATGACTGCTTATATTTCTTTAGAAGTTACAGGTCTATTTAAGTTGTTTATCTGATCTTGATTTAACTTTAGTAAATAGTATCTATCTATAACATACATTTATTTTAGATTTTTCCAATTTTGTGGAGTACAGGTTTTTAAAGTATGGCCCAATGATTCTTTGGATTTCCTTGATGACTATTGTTATGTTCTCCTTTTTGTTTCTGATTTTGTTAATTTGGATATTCTCTCTGCCTTTTAGAATAAAGATTTCTCCATCTTGTTGATTTTTCTCAAAGAACCAACTCTTTGTTTCATTGATTCTTTGTATTGTTCTTTTTGTTTCTACTTTACTGATATCAGCCCTCAGTTTAATTATTTCTTGCTCTTTGCTTCTCTTGGTTGTAGAGCTTTCAGACGTGCTGTTAAGTCACTAGTAGGAGATCTCACCAATTTTTCTATGTAGGCATTTAGTGCTATGAACTTTTCTCTTAACACCATTTTCATTGTGTTCCATAAGTTTGGGTGTATTGTACATTCATTTTCATTCAATTCTACCAAGTCTTTGGTTTCTTTCTTTATTTCTGTCTTGACCCAGTAGTCATTCAGTAAAGAGTTGTTCAGTTTTCCATGAGTTTATAGGCTTTCTGTTGTTGTTGAAATACGTCTTTAATATGTGGTGGTCTTATACGATGCAGGGGGTTATTTAAATTTTCTTATATATTTTGAGGTCCATTTGCTTGAAAATCTTTTTCTAACACTTTACTCGAAGGAAATGTCTGTCTTTGATGCTGAGGTATTTCTCGTAGCAGCAGAAGGTTGGATTCTGTTTCACATCCATTCTCTTAGCCTGTGTCTTTTTATTGGGGAATTGAATCCATTGCTTTTGAGAGATATCAACATCCAGTGATGTTAAATTCCTGTTATGTTGTTGGTGTTGATGTTGGAGGTGGTGGTGGTGGTGACGGTGTATGTGTGCATGTTTTTTTCCCTTTTTGTTTCTATGTTGTGATATTTATTTCCTGTGCTTTCATAGGTGTAGTTAACTTCCTTGGACTGGAGTTTTCTTTCTAGTACCTTCTGTAGGGCTAGATTTGTGAATAAATATTGTTTAAATTTGACTTTATCATGGAATGGCTTGTTTTGTCCATCAGAGGTGCTTGAAAGTTTTGCTGGGTATAGTCTGGGCTGCATCTATGGCATCTTAGAGCATACAAGACATCTGTCTAGATCCTTCTGGCTTTTAGAGCCTCTATTGAGAAGTCATGTAATTTTAATAGGTTTACCTTTATAAGTTAGTTGGCCTTTTATTCTTGCAGGTTTTAATCTTTCTTTGTTCAGTATGTTTAGTGTTTTGATTGTTATTTGGCAAGGGGAAGTCTTTTCTAGTATAATCTATTTGGTGTTCTGCAAGCATGTCCTTCTTTAGGATAGGAAATTTTTCTTTTATGATTTTGTTGAAAATATTTTGTGGGCCTTTGAGCTGGGATTATTTTTTTTTTCTATTCCTACTATAGGTTTCAACCTATAGTATAGTTTTCAAACCTACTATAGGTTTGATCTTTTTATAGTGTCCTAGACTTCCTGGATGTTTTGTGTCAGGAATTTCTAGATTTAACATTTTCTTTGATCCATTTCTTTTGTTGTATCATCAATTCCTGAGACTCTTTTCTCCATATCTCCATTCTGTTGTTGATGCTTGCCTCTGTAGATCCTGTTCACTTAGGGTTAGGGTTAGGAATTCCATCAGTGTTTTGTTTTTTTTTTTTTTTTTTAATTATTTCTATTTTTAGTTTCAGATTTTGAACAGTTGTATTTATTTCCTTCAGCTCTTTTTTCCTTGGCTTTTTAGGCTTTCTTTAATGGGTTTATTCAGTTCCTCCAATTTTTTCTTTGTCTTTCCTTAATTTCTTAAATGGATTTATTTCTTGTTTAAAGACTTCTGTCATCTTCACCCATGTCCACTTTCTGGATTATCTTCTTTAGGTGTGTAGATTTCATTATGTTTATCATATCTTGTAGGTCTATATAAGCGAGTATATACCAAGTTTGTCTTTCTCCTTCTGGGATACTTCACTCAGAATGATCTTTTCTAGATCCCACCATTTGCCTGCAAATTTCATGATTTCCTCCTTTTTGATTGCTGAGTAGTATTCCATTGTGTAAAAATACCACAATTTCTGTATCCATTCCTCTGTTGATGGTCATCTGGGTTGTTTCCAAGTTCTGGCTATTACAAATAAAGCTGCTACAAACATGGTTGAAACAAATGTCCTTGTTGTGTACTTGAGCAAATTTTGGGTATATACCTAGGAGTGGTATAGCTGGGTCTTGAGGTAGCACTACTCCTAATTGTCTGAGATGATCAATCCTCATTTAGAAAGACAAATGGGATGTGCATTGAATGTATGACAGGAGTCTACTGCAGAAGGCATCTGAAAGACTAGCAGTGTTTCAAAGCAGACACTAAGACTCATAACCAAACCTTGGTAGAGTGCAGGGAATCATATGAAAGAAGGGGAGTTAGTATGATATAGAAAGGATAGGAGCTCTACAAGTACCAAATATATCCGGGCACAGGGTCTTTTCTGAGACTGACACTCAACCAAGGACCATCTATGGATATAACATAGAACTTCTGCTCGGATGTGGCCCGTGGTAGCTCAGTAACCAAGTAGTTTTCCAAAGTAAGGGGAACAAGGACTATTTCTAACAGGATCTCAAGGGCAAGCTCTTTGACCTCCCCCCCCCCACCCCAGGGGAGGAGCAGTCCTGTTAGGCCACAGAGGAGGACTTTGCAGCCAGCCTTAAAGATACCTGATAAAACAGGGTCAAATGAAAGGGGAGGAGGTCCTCCCCTATCAGTGGACTTGGAAAGGGGCAGGGAGGAGACCAGGGAGGGAGTGTGGGGTTGGGGAGGGAATGAGGGAGCGGGATACAGCTGGGACACAGAGTTAACAAATTGTAACTAAAAAGAAAAATAAAAATTAAAAAAAAAAAAAGATCTCTGTCATTATCATAAAGTTGACTTTAAGGTTGTTTTCTTGCATTTGAACTGTGTTGAAATATTCAGAGCTTGCTGTAGTTGGATAGTTGGGCTCTGGTTGTGACATATTGCCTTGGCTGTTGTTTATTGGGTTCTTAAACTGCTGTCCAAGCATCTGGGTTTATGGTGATTATCAGTCCAGATGCTGATTTGTTTATCTTTATTAGATGATTCTTTTATTTCTTGGTCTCTGTTTCCTCTCTGGTCTTCTGGCTGGAGTGTCCTGTAATTGGGCAGAGGGATGCTACCCAAGTTGGGTGCTGGTCTTCTTGCCCAGCAGGGAGTCTCTACCTGAGTTGGTGGTTGGAACATGGTCATAAGGAGAGGGAACACTGAGAGAGTGAGGGGTTCCCCAGGTGTGCAGCCTACTTGGAGTTCTGGTGGCCAATGTGGCCCCTGATTGAGCATTTTTGTTTATATTTTTTAAAATGGAGATAGGATGGGCAGGCATTGAGAGAGTTAGGGTTGTCTACAGGCAGGCAGGCTACCTAAAGTTTTTGGAGGCCATTGGGCTGTCTGATGGAGCAGGGAGTTTTTGTAGGAGTTATGGTCAAAATATCAAAATGAATATTTTATTATCATTATTAAACCATCTTAATAGCTTCTTATTTTTATATAGTACTCCATCCAGAGTCTTATAAGAATAATCATAATCAGCATGGCTTTATAAATTGCTTTAGCATTTATAAATGCTAAATGTTTTCCTTTGTCCTCTAAGTAACACTTTAAGTTATTATTCAAAAAAATCTTAGTCTCTTTATGATGTTTTCTAAATCTAGTTCAGAATCACTGAAATCATTCAGCATCCAGAACTATTTTTAGTATTTTAATAATTTAGATATTACCAGATCTAAATTATTACCTTTTTAGAATATTTCCTCTTTACAATGTTCTCCCTGCCCCTATACTTCACTGGATTTGTCTCATATACTCCTGTATATCAAATCATGGTCTTTCTTTTTATTACTCTAGTCTGCTACTACAATATAAAAAAATGTAATGGAGTAACAATAAACAAAAATTTTTCTTCTGTACTTCCTGATATCTCACTGTGTATTTACTGTGACAATTTGTGATATATAATAAGTTGTGCACTGACCACAGAGGAAAAATACTGTATATACTTACTAATTCAGAGGTGTTGACCTTGTCCTCTTGTTACTAACTATTCTCATGTTTATACAAAACAGCCTCCCTGTCCAGTTGGACAGTTGGAGAAAACAGTGACACCTTCCTTGGTATGATCCTTGACCTAACAAAACTCTTAGAGCCATTATCTATAAAAGCACCTTCCTCTGTTTGTATTTCTGTTAATAACCAACCAGAGGGACAGTCTTTCAGCAGATCCTCATGTGCCACTCATCACCTATGTAGTCTTTCCAACATGGCATATTTCACTACTACATCAACACCCTTCACTCTTATTCTCTTTTGGGGTATGGTGGGGGTGGGGAAAATGTTTCCCTGTGTAGCCTTGGCTGTCCTAGACTCAATTTGTAGACAAGGCTGGCCTTGAACTCAGTGATCCGCTTGCCTCTGCCTCCCAGAGTGCTGGAATTCCAGGTGTGCACCACTGCTCTTGGTTCCCTTTACTCTTCTTTATCTTTGGTCTTACACTGGCTTTCCATGTGCTGGAGAAATTGTACTGTGGTTCATGGTCATCCTCTGTGTTACATGCTTCTGGCAATCCAAAAGGGTAAAGAGTTGAATGGTGAGGAGTAGTGGTGAATGAGTTAACTATATTTTTATCCTTAACTCTAATACCAACCCACAAATAATCCAACATATAAGTATTTTTTATTTATGTCACATAAAGTAGTTGCTAAGTAACCCCAGAAGACATAGTATATCATTCTGGTGAAAGTATGTGTGAGTCAGGCCTGAGTGCATTGCCAGTCACCAGCTGTGAATCCTTGGGACAAAACACTGACCATCAGGCTTCATCTTTCTTACCGATCAAATAATAGCTCCTATCTTATTGAAACAGTCCTAAATGAATGCCAGAAAATGTTAGCTATTATTTATTAGTTATTGATCTTCAAATAAATTAAATATTTTCTTTGTCTGTAAGTTATTACATCTAGTTATCCCTCATAATCCTGATTCTAGAATTATCCCAGATACCAAAACCTTTGGATGTTCAAATACCTTACATAAAAAGGGGTAATACTTTCCTGGAACCTCCTATATGCCTTAATTGTAGATTACTTATGATAATATAATACAGTGAAAATTCTTTGTAAATATTTTTAAACTATATAGTTATACTATGTGGGTTAGGGAAAATGGCAAGAGAAAAGCCTTTGTATATTCATTAGAGTTATAGTTATTTTAAATGGTTTTGATTTTCAGTTTGTTGAATGTGTAGATGTGGAGCCTGAAGGTCAAGAGGGGAGTGGGTTACTTTATGACACCTGCTATTACTGTGCTAACCCTGAGGATTACTTTGAAACAAAGTAGAACTTTTCAACATCACTAATGATCATAGAGCACAATGGTGCTGTATCAGGTTGCAGCGCTATTAGTATGTGAAGTTGACTAAATTTGTGGTAAACCTATTTACTAACCAAACTTCAGAAATAGATGTTTTAAGGCATGGATACGTGTATATAAACAAACTAGAGTCTTCTGACACAATGGGTTCAGTATTTCATAATACAAGTTTGTACTTAGTAAAATTATAACTTAAATCTTAAAAGTTACTGATTGCTTTCAAAACTGTAACATTTATACAGTTTTCCTTCCTCTCTCACCAATTAGCAATATCACAGGTGAAAAGTGTAAAGAAGTGAGTATCTGTTTAAATTCAGAAGGAGACAGCGGTGTTCCCCCTCAAGTTCTGCTCACAAGTCAAGAGAACAACAGGTACCTATGCACATCCTGAATTCAAAATGTTTGCAGCAACTCAGATTCAAACAGAAACAATTCGAACAGGATAGTACACATAGAAGTTGGAAAGTACTTCTTGAGCTGGAAACTCAGTTTGTTTCCTGGGTGACTGCCATTTTTATGATTTTATTTGGCAACTGGTAATACTGTGCTAAGGTGTTCTATGAGCCTTTGAGGAGCAGTGGGCTTTGCTTTTTCCTGTGGAAGCCAAATACACCCACATACCAATGTGGGATCTCGTAAGGGTGGCTTTCTACCTCTTTCCTGATTTCTGTACTCACTTGGCTTCCTGTGACACACACACACACACACACACACACACTCTCTCTCTCTCTCTCCCTCTCTCTCTCTCTCTCTGTCTCTCTCTCTCTCTCTCTCTCTCTCTCTCTCTCTCTTTGTGTTATACTTTCAAGGCAGGGTTTCTCTGTGTAGCCCAGGCAATCCTGAAACTTACTCTGTAGACCAGGCTGGCCTCAGACTTAGATATCTGCCTGCTTTTGCCTCCCAGGTGCTAGGATCAAAGGCATGCACCAACACTGCCTGGCTTCACTCTCTCTTCTTTCTGTATTCCACCTCAGCTTTGTTCATCCCTTCCATGCATCCTCATCACAAACCCTTATACGGCACCTACTGGCCAAAGGTTTGGGATTGAAAGAGAACCAGTACTACATTGAATGCATCATGATGACTTAATTGAGTATGATGAATCACTGAACTAAGCACCAAATGATCCCCAGGGTCCAGCTACAGTCTGGGCCAAATGCAGCTGTTTGTGTTGCATTAGCCCTTCTAATTGCACATCCTCACCCAGTCATGTTGCCAGTGGCTCCTTTCTTACCCTAGGAGCGTTGAAACAGGCCCAGAAACCACATGGCCCACCAAGCCCCAGCTACTTACAAATTTGCCCATTTTTTAAGCAGTTTTGATTAGTAAATAAGATTACTCCAATTTTGACAGTTTTACATATCAACAACTTTACACTGTAATCTAACACAACATTGTTGTGGTCTGTGATCACAGTGATGTTGGGAAGTTCTATTTTAGATTAAAGAACCAAAAGTGACAATAAATGTGTTACTGCCTTTAAGCCTTGAATTTCTATCCTTTTCCCTTGTCTTATTCAGTAGATGTTCTAAAGATTGCTCAGTTCTATACTGATTACTCAGTGCTTGGACCTCTCACAAATTCAAAGCTCCATATTTCTTTGTATCATGCAGAGCTATTCATTTGCTTGCTAGCGTCCCAGGAATCCCAACACACCCTGTCTATAGATCCTCAGGATATTCTCATAGATAACAGCACAGACAGTGCATATCTGTCATTTTCAGCTATATAAGGAGTTTGAGGTCAATCTGGGCTACCTGAAATCCTGTCTAAATAAACAAACCTCTTTGGGCTGGAGAGATGGCTCAGTGGTTAAAAGCAATGTCTGCTCTTCCAAAGGACCAGGGTTCAATTACCAGCACCACATGATAGGTCACAACTGTCTATTATACCAATTCAAAGGGATCTGACACCTTCGCACTAACGCACATAAAAGAATATTAAATAAATCATTAGAACTTATGTTCTCCCCTAAGTTTTAATGATCATTCTGTTTGATCCTCCTCAAATGGTTATTGATATCATGGCTGCCAGGAAGTAGGAAACTTGAGGTGTTTACTTGAGTATGCTATCCTACAACAATACATTTTTATGTTAGTCCCAAACTCCTTATACGACTCAAAATGACAGATCTGCACTAGCTGTGCTATTATTTTTGGTGTGTGTGTGTGTGCTATTATAGAAGTCCTATGATATATATAGATACATGTCTGTGTGCTGTTATAGAAATATATATGTATGTATATGAGCAAAAGGCTAATGTAATTTTTTGAGATAAAATAGCAGAATGCCATGCTTTAGGAGATTCTCTAAGACTGTATCCAAGATTCTCGTAGAGTTTGTTTCCTTTACTGTTGGGATCTATGATGAGAAGGCTGTGCAGAACAAGTTCCCGGCTAACCACATAATCACACTGTAGGAAGAAAAGAAAATAACAGACTGGGAGCTGGGGTTGCTTTTACAAGAAATTATTTTTACAACATTCCATAAAGCACTTAAAATACCATTTATATAGATGCATATATGTAAGATTATCCACCTGAAACACTTTCCTATCTTTTTTCCCTAAGTTTCATTAGTCCAGCTTGAAATTCACTCACCCAAGAAGCCTCCTAAACAGCAGCATTGCAAAATGATGTCTCTGTCTGAAATTCAAAGTATTAGCTGCCTGTATCACTTTCAAAATAAACTATTTTCTTTTAAGATCCAGATGTGTGGTTCAAACATGTGATTTCAGCACTTGAGAGGCTGACAAAGAAGTAATGACACAAATTCAAGGCCACTCAGGACATTTAACCTGTGTCAAGAATGAAAAACAAAATAAAAAGTAGTATGAACTCATTTTTTTAATGGTAAATATACAGAATACTTTATATATATTGAGCCAGATGTGATGGCTGACTTCTATAATCCTAGCAGTTACTCTGGAGAACTCTAAGGCAAGAGGATACCTTGATTCTGAAAAGAAAAACCAAAAATCCTGTCATAAACAGATCAAGGTCATTCTTGACTACAGTCTTCCAAAGCATCAGGGTTCATTATTTTTAGAAACACTTTGTAAATACGGAGTGAGAATCTACATAAGCACAAGACCTGTGTGTCTAGGCCAAATGTCAAAGAGATAACAAGGAGGAGGCATATGATGAAGAAAAGATTGTAGGCACTGCAGGTAGTGGGTGATGCTGACCAGTCTTGAGAGATAGAAAGAGAACAATAATGAGCAGTCAAGTAGGCAGAGACAGCTGGAGGCCAGGTGGGCCCTCAGGGGTTTGTCCACTGGTTGAAGGACAGTGTTCAGGCCAAAAAGGAAAGGCTTCAGTCCTGTGAGGGAAGAGCTTAGTACCCTATACTGAATAACCACCCTTGCTTATTTTTCATGATAGTAACAGGACAAACTGATTCTTCTCTCAGAGGACTTGTCACTATTTACACCTCTCCCACAAGCATACATCTAAAGAGTCTCAGGGAAATACTTTGTATCTTGTGGGTGACCTATGTATTTTCTATAACTAGTCTCTGTTTCTTAACTGACAAAAGGAAAAATAAAAAATGTAATCATTAATCTCTTCTTTCTATTCCACTTCCTCCTTTACATCATACTTTCTTGTGCCCTGCATAAAAACAACAAAAGAAGGTAATAAACACTTTTGATGAATCTGCATTTATATATAATATCAGCACCCTGATTATTAGCATATGAATTCTTCATGGTTTAGTTATTCACTATGCTGTCATCTAAGTGAAAATATCATGTTATTTTTAATGTCCTTTCTTGAAAAAACAAACAAAACCAAAAAATCAACAAAAAAATGCAAAGTTAGAGTACATCTAGAATTACATGTTAGTTTAGAAGTCAATTCATTTCAACAGAATAAGATCTGAGCTTCAGGTCTTCAATATACTTCACAGAAATGCAAAAAAAAAAAAAAAAAAAAAAAAAAGGGGGGGGCGAATGAAACTTCTGCAGCATCCAGGAAAGCTCTGCTTTTGTTGGTCAGGGTGGAAGCTGAAAAAGCTCACATCAGAAACAGAAGCTTAAAATGTAAGCTTTATTTTCTGCTCAGGTAGAGAGGTAGCCAGTTCGGGATCTGAACTACATCCCGAAGGGAGACTGTACATTTTTAAAGGATGGGAACACAAAGTGAGGGGGAGCAGGGTCAGCTGTCGCATTGACCAATCATATTTTGACATAAGGGGCTGAGCAAGGAAGTACATGTGGGTGACTGGGTCTTTCCAGGTCACCTGGCCCTTTGCAGTCGTGTTGTATTGCAGGATATTTGATCCCATTGTGAACTCCAAGATTGTGAGTTGTAAAACCCTGTTTTTTATTTGTTGTGGTTGAACCCTAACACATACCTTTAATCCAAGAACTTTCTGTTTATTGTAAACAGGTGATTATGGTGTGGTTCACCCAGCCCTAGTACACACCTTTAATCCAAGAGCTTTCTGTACACGGGATTTAGTAAAGTTAGCCCTAGGTCAAGAGGTTGGAGCAAGAAACCAGCTAACAAGAAAGAGTAGGAGGGACTTTGAGTTGAGGGGTATTTAAGACAGCAGTGTAGACATAGAAGCAATGATTAGCTCTCTGGCATTTGAGCTTTTAGCTTTCTGGCTTTTGAGTTTTTTTTTGAGTTTTTTGAGCTTTGAGCTAGCAAGCCTTTGGCCTTGGGTTTTTTGGCCCTTTCTTCCTGGGCTGTCAGCTGAGCTAGTGCGCCTTTTGGGCTTTTTCCATATGGACATGAGCTGAAAAGGAAGGTCAGCTGGGTACTTTTCTGCCTCTCTGAGCTAGCAGGTTTTCAACCCAGCATCTGGCTCCTGAGTCTTTATTGGTAAAATAGAACATTTGGGATTTTCATTTTTGAAAACATCACTTCCCCTCTTGGACCTTGGCCTGGTATTTAGAATGATAGAGGAACAAGTGGACAAGCTGCTTGTAGTCATTTAAATCAAGAGATTGGTTTAAATTTAGAGAGATAAGGGAACAAAAGAGTAGGTAAGCTTTAAGTCAACACATTCAACACAATTGCAACCTGTGTACCTTAGTTTAGATAACAGATAATGGCAATTTCCCTCTTTATATCCTGTTGGTATAATGTTCTTGTGGTATGTATACAATTGACCCTTGTTCATTCAAATGCTGATTGCTCTACTCCACTATCTGGTTTCAATCCAGACATTGTATTGTGATGTTTATTCTAAGCACCACCTGTCTCAAGTTTGTGTAAACATGCCACTATTTTTTCTCTGTATTTTCAATAAAACAACCAGCCAATGCTGAGCAATGGAGAGAATAGGGTGGGACATCCTGGTCCAGAGGGGAGGAGAAAGATGGGAGTGGGAGGAGTTGGAGGAGAGAGATCTGCAGGAGAGAACTTGGAACCACCAGGAGAGATGAACCAGACCTAAGATATGACTAAAAGCAAGTATAATGTGGGAAATCTGAATGGGAGGAAGCTATGCGGGCTTAGAGGTTTAGGATGGAGTAATCATTGCCCAGCATTGTGCTCTAGGTTAACTAAATACATCCTAGTCTCTGTGTGGTCATTTGGGTATACAGCTGGTTTAGGAATAACTACTGTTTAGCTCCAGATAAATTAATAATAAATATTAATAATCAACAACAACATCCTTTACTGGTTCACAGACAAACATGAAACACCTCAAGAAGCAGGAGAAGAGTTGAATTCCAGGACATGGGATTATGAACTCAGTTTTGACCCTGCCACCAAGATGGAAATTCTTCCTGAGATGGCGGGACCCAGAAAATTGCCTCTTAACTCTTTTATCCTGCCTGCTTAGTGGTCACTTCCTTGCACCCTTACCATACATTGAAATCACAGATCATCTATTTAGAGCACAAGACTGAATGACAGAAAACTGAAGAAAGAAGATGTAGTCTAGGAGTTATGCTTTATAAAGTCCACCATTTCTCTTCCTTATTTTAAAATGCTTATAATATGGCATGAGCTCCTTAGGAAAAAATGCAAAAATATATGAAAACAAGTAATAATTATTCTGTGTAACAATAACCATTACTAATACTTTTATTTTTATCATGCTTTTTCATATCTGTCTCTGTACATGTGTATTTTTCTCAAATCATTCCTACATTTTTAAAACAGAGCACACTCCAAAAACACTTACGTAATATCAGTTATCGCCTTCTCTAGGGAATAGAAGTAACTTGTTTATTTAAAAATATTTTAAATGGTGATGGGAAGAGTGACCAAGACTACTCAAAAAAACTGTCTGAAAAACTGAACTCTGGGTTTCTTCTATTTTAAAAGTTTTTTGTACTATGCTCTGTATTTTTTTAAAAATTTTTATTTAACTTTTATTAATTACACTTTATTCATTTTGTATCCCCCCATAAGCTCCTCCCTCCTCCCCTCCTGGTCCTACCCTCTCTCCCCTTTCTGCATGCATGCCCCTCCCCAAGTCCACTGATAGGGGAGGTGCTCCTCTCCTTCTTTCTGACCTTAGTCTATCAGTTCTCATCAGAAGTGGCTGCATTGTCAGGGTTCTAGGTTATCTCCATGAATAGTCCTTGGTTGAAGTATGAGTCTCTGGGAAGTTCCCTGTGTTCAAATTTTCTTGTTCTGTTGCTCTCCTTATGGAGTTTCTGTCCTCTCCAGCTCTTACTATTTCCCACTTCTTACATAAAATTCCATTCACTCTGCCCTACAGTTGGCCATCAGGCTCAACATCTGCTTTGACAGTCTGCACGGCAGAGGCTTTCAGAGGCCCTCTGTGGCAGGTTCCTAGGTTGTTTCCTGTTTTATTCTTCTGGCTTTCAGAGGCCCTCTGTAGCAGGTTCCTAGGTTGTTTCCTGTTTTCTTCTTCTTCTGATGTCCATCTTCTTTGCCTTTCAGGATGGGGATTGAACATTTTAGTTAGGGTCCTCTCTTTTGCTTAGTTTGTTTAGATGTGCAGATTTTAGTGAGTTTATCCTATGTTGTATGTTTATATGAGTGAGTATATACCGTGTGTGTCTTTTTGCTTCTGCAACAACTCACTCAGGATGATCCTTTCCAGGTCCCACCATTTACCTGCAAATTTCATGATTTCCTTATTTTTAATTGCTGAGTAATACTCCATTGTATAGGTGTACCACAGTTTCTGCATCCATTCTTCAGTTGAGGGGCATCTGGGCTGTTTCCAGCTTCTGGCTATTACAAATAAAGCTGCTACAAACATGGTTGAGCAAATGTCCTTTTTGTGTACTTGAGCCTCTTTTAAAGAACAATTATAAAATAACTTACCTTTGAATAAATTTATACATTATATTAACAAGAAAAGTACAACTTTGTTTTGTTTTGTTTTTCAAGACAGGGCTTCTTTGTGTAGCCTTGGCTGTCCTGGACTTGCTTTGTAGACCAGGGTGGCTTTGAACTCACAGAGATCTGCCTTTCTCTGCCTCCCTGAATGCTGGGATTACAGGCATGCACCACTGTGCCCAGCTTAAAAGTTCAACTTTTAAGAAGCATCAATCCCTAGGCTCAGGTAGTTTAGCTTTGTTGGTTTTGTTGTGGGGCTCCTATCCTCTCTGTGTCCTTGAGTGGGCTAGGGGAAGGTGATAGGAAGCAGAAGGGAAGGACTGGGAGGAGTTGAGGAAGGGGACTTCAATCGGGGATATATAATGAATAAATTGTAAAAATAAATAAACTAGATAGATAGATAGATAGATAGATAGATAGATAGATAGATAGATGTGGGGGGGAGCATCAGTCAACACAGCTAAGTTGGAACCAAGTAGGAGAGGTAGTGCTGAGGTAGTGAAAAGCATGACAGCTATTGGAAACCTATGACACTGAAGAAACAAAAGCTAAAAGAATTGATTCACAAACTGTTCCCGGTAAAGAAATGATAAATAATTGAATTGATATGTTTACACTGATTTAAATATTATGTGTGCTGTCCAGAAGGGGCAGAGATAAGGGTTTTTTTAAGGTGGAGACTACAGTTATCTTGTTTCTTTGGAATTTGTAACTGTATAAAAAACTTTTACTCCCCTCAACTATACAAGAATCTGTCTCGGTCCCCTGTACAAAGCAAATAAGTGTATTTACAAAAGCCAGAGCAAATGATTAATTATTTCAAAGCAGATTCTGGAGAGAGTGCAGCATTCTAGGAGCTCATCTTTCAGGAATTTAGGACAGAGGCCAAAAAGTACTAGGAGGGTACGTGGTACAGAATGGGGTTTCCTTAGCCATCACAATTATACAATGTGTATGGATATATATATGTATCTAAGCATTACATGGTGCCTCATAGATATTTATGAATTACATGTTATTTATAAATTATATATTTTTAAAAGAACTTACCTAGTTAATAATCATATGTTTACATTTAAGATAAATGGCCCTGGCTAGGGTACAGCTTGGCAGTTGAAGCTCTTACATACAAGCAAGAGGCCCAGAGTTCAGATCTCTAGAACCCCACATTATTCTAGCCTTGGAAGGCTGAGAAATAACATCCCCTGAGCAAGCAAGCTAGCTAAAGTCTCTGTATTGGTGAACTCTGAATTTGATTGAGAGACCTTGTCCTAGAAGAAAAAGTGGGGGAGAAACTGAGCAAGATTCCTGGGGCAGGAGAAATAGTTAAAAGCACTTGTTATTCTTGCATAGTTGTAGGGTTCAGTTCTTGGCACCCATGAGGTGCCTCTGCTCACACCATCTGTAATTCCAGTTTTGGAGGTTCCAACACCCTCATCTTCCGGGGACACTGCGTACACATAGTGTACAGACATATATTCAGGCAAAATCCACATCCACATAAACAAAAACAAATATATCTTTTTTAAAAAAGATTACCATTATGAACCTCAGGCCTCAAAGGTACATGAATGCACAAAGAGGTGTGCACACATGTATAGGTGAACACATACATGCATACATACTACACATATACATATGAAAACAAAAATTAAAACAAGTACTCATATATAGTTATATTTTGAGCCATGCTCATGATCTCAAAAAAAATGTCAGAATCTTTCTGGATATTGAACAAAATTTGCACATACTTATTGCTAGTTTCTGTATTTTAATAGCATTTTATGGGTGTGTTATATAATAATTGGCTTGGCACTATCCTGGCTAGTTGTATGTCAATTTGACACAAGAGTCACTGGAGAGGAGTAAACCTCAAATGAGAAAATGCCTCAATAAGATTAGGTCATTTTCTTAATTAGTGATTGATGAGGGGACAGCCCATTCTATTGGGGGCCACCTCTGGGCAGGTAGTCCTGGGTTCTATAAAAAAGCCAACTGAGCAAGCCACGAGGAGAGCAAGATAGTATGCAATGTTCCTCCATGGCCTTTGCATCAGCTGCTGCCTCCAGATTTCTGCCCTGCTTGAGTTCCTGTCCTGACTTCCTTTGATGATGGACTGTGATGTGGAACTGTAAGGCAAATAAACCCTTTCCTCCCCAACTTGTTTTCTGGTTATGGTATTTTGTCACAGCAATAGAAACCCTAAGACAGACACTGTAAGGATGAGCAAGACACCATCTTGATTTTAGATTATGAAAGACAGGAGAAGGAAAAGGCCTATGCAAAGTCCACTGACCCTACCACCACCACAACTACACACAAGAAAATGCAACTTGTAGCACAAAAAATATTAGCTATTAGAGAATTCTTGAAAGTTTGTAACATATTTACCTTTTAAGTGTCTGCTGCATAAACACGAGGACTTGCGATCCCTAGATTGCACATAAAAAGTCCAAAAGTGCCTGTAAGGCCAAGAGCTGGAGAAGCAGAGACAGGAAGGTTCCTGAGGCTTACTGGATCAGTAAGCTTTACATTCAGTGACTGCCTCACAAAATAAGTTGGAAAATGGGGTGGTTTGAATAAAAATACCCCCACATAAGTCCGTAGTGAGTGTCACTATTAGGAGGTATGGCTTTGTTGGAAGAAGTGAGTCACAAAGGGGTGGGCTTTGAGGTCTCAGAAGCTCAAGCCAAGCCTGGTGGCTCACAGTCTCTTCCTCAGCCTAAAGATCCAGATGTAGAACTCTTAGCTACCTTTCCAGCACCATGTCTGCCTGCATACCACCATGCTTCCTGTCATGATGATAATGAGCTAAACCTCTCAACTGTAAGCCAGCCCCAGTTAGATGTTTTCCTTTATAAGAGTTGCCTTGGTCTTGGTGTCTCTTCACAGCAATAAATTGTAAGACAGAGTTTCTGAGGAAGGCAACAGATGTTGACCCCTGGCCTCATGTACACTCATGTACACTTACCTGCCTGCACAGTTGGCACACACCCATATTAACAAATGCATTTACAACATTCTCCATGTACAGAAGAACAGAGACAGATGCAAAGCCAAAAAATGGACAAAATAAGTGTCCTTCTGAGAACAATCCTTGTTTCTGTACTTGTTTTTTTCTGAACTCCTGGAGATGAAGTGTGGTCCTGCTCCACTATGCAGAAAGGTCAGCTGGCCTGTAGGTGTTACCCAGTGGGATTCTATTGCTGTGAGGAGATACTATGACCAAGGGAACACTTATAAAGAAAAACATTTAATTGGGGCTGGCTTATATTCAGAGGTGGAGTCCATTATAGCAGGAAGCATGATGGTGTGCAGGCAGACACGGTGCTGGAGAAGGAGCTGGGAGTTCTACATCTGGAGCCACAGGCAGCAGGGAGAGAACTGGCTTGAGTTTCTGAGACCTCAAAGCCCAGCCCCTAGTGACACACTTCCAATAAAGTCATACCTATTCCAAAAAGGCTACATCTCATAATAATCCCACTCCTTGTTATTATTATTGTGGACCAAGTATTCAAACACATGAGTCTATAAAATTACCGCACTCGCCCTCTGAAAACCATAATGTAAACATATAATTCCTGACACACACACACACATACACACAAATACCCCTCTGCCCCACTGTCCTACCACCCTTCAAAAAGCTTATAGGAAATTAAGAGTCCCATTCTGGTCCACAAGCCTGGTGACCCTCTTTCCTTGTTTCTCTTTGACAGTTTAACAAAATATTTCCCATGAACTAGAGAAAGCGCTTTTATTTTGAATCTTCTCCTTCATCAACAGGTTTGACTCTAGACTTCAGGCAGCTGTCAGGATCCTGGGATGTTCACTGTCAATACTGTCATTGAAAGCTTTACAAAGCAGAGCTGAGAAAACAGACAGTAGCTCCACTTCATGAGTGGGCTAACAGTGCTTGTCCCAAGGAAGTAATTTGCAGCAACCATGGATCCCTAGGGGATCCTCTAGGGGAGGAGTGACTTTAGCGGCTGGGAATCTAGTGGGCAAACCTTTAAGATTTGAGGACTGTGAGAAGAGGCCGTAAGAAAATTCAAACGAGAAAAATAAGTATTTTCCCTGATCAGATATGACTAGTGCCAAATACAACAAAGAACCAAGAGGCCAGTCTGAGGCAGCCTGGATAAGCACCAGGGGTGCTGGCTGCCTGATGACCCATAAGTCATGCTTCAGGTCTGTTTTTTAGCTTCCTGTGCTTTATTCTACAAGTTCAAGTTCTGAGCAATGATCACAGGGCGAGCTAGTCTTTCCACCCTTCCTTGTTTATGTGAACCAGGGTCAGTTCCAGCTGCTTAGCTCACCCGAGAGCAGCAGCAGAGCCGCTTCCAGGAGGAACACCTCCGCATCCGAAGGGAAACAGCACAACCCTGGGAGGAGCTCAGCGCACCTGGGGACACAGCCTGTGGAAGCGTGCCACCCAAGCTGAGGAGTGAAGTAAAGTGGCAGAGAAGGACTTGGGAGGAATGCAGCTACAGATGGGAAAAGTTAAAGGTGGTAGGGAAGGAGCACAGCAAAGTGGCACAAAGGCAGACAGTTGACAAGCTCCAAATTGCTGGGCAGGCGCACAACACCATTGGCCCAGCCCCTTGAACTGAGGCCCCACCTTGCTGCCAGTCGATTGGCCTAGTTTGCACCACCTTGAGTCACTAGCCAGTCGGGAGTGGCCTGGCCACGCCCATTTGTTGTGTCGCTCAGCACACTAGTTTCAGGATTGTTGCGTGCTTTCATCCAGCTCAAAGCTGCTCTCTGGCTTCCTGGTGCTCAGTTTTTCCTTCATTCTGCTAACATGACGGCGCCTCTCGCGCCGGACGCAAGGCCTCGGCGTCCCAGAAGGAAGATCTACACTCTCTGGTGGTACTTCCTGAGCATCTGCGCAGAGGCCCTTCTGTACCTGCTGTCTACTGTATCTGGTAGGATCCAGGAGAGAGGCTGTGCCACTGGGATGCTGGGAGGAGCTTATCTGAGCCCTGGATGGAGGACCTAGTAGAGTTCTAGGGTTGTGCAAATGCTTGAGTTTTGCCATGGCAGTGGAGACCAGGCAGTCCCCATCCCCAAAATGCAGACTTGCAGGGCTGGGCGATGTGAGTGGAGAGAGGGGTAGAGGTTCACCTAGAGCTTGGTTGTGTCAGTAGCAGGTTGAACTGCTTATGCTGTGGGTAAGCAACTCTGGGTTTAGGAGGGAGGATAGGTCACACTTGGCCTGTTTTATCTTGAGTCAAGTTTCTTTGTTGCCTGAGGCAGTATGGGCTTGGTTTACACGTAACTTTTGTTTGGCTTTGCAATTTTATTAGATAACCCCCCACCCCCCACCCCCACACACCATATGGAGTGGTTAATCATATTTCTCAAACCCCTACTCCCGGCTTAGAGTTATTGTCTGACTCTATCACCAAATGGCTTTGAAACATTATCTTCCTTTACAGATAAAGTCACAGTAGAAAAGAACAATCTAAACCTCATTCCTAAGACGAGAAGTAAAGTAACACTCAGGTTTCACCTTAGCTAATGAAGTAAAACTCAAGGTTTATCTCACTACATTTGGATGGTGTTTCATTACATGGAATAAATACTATACATACTTACTGTGTAAAATTTACACTAAGAACAATGTTTCTGTTTTCTTCTGCTTTTCAACACTCTGTGTCTGTATCCCTGATACACAATCCTGACATGTAGTCTGTATATATTTCTGCATGTTGGGAGGCAGTGACAAACCAGTCTTGTGTGATCCTCTTCCACTGGTTGTTCACACACATGTATGTGTATTAATATAAGCAAGCACTTTAGTAGGCTTATAGATCCCTATGATAGATACATAGTAGATGATCTATAAATATTTGCTAATATTTATTTGAAGTAGCAAGTATTAACCAAAGCTTAACACTAAGGAATAGAACCATGTTCTGGAGCATGCTTCTCTTAATAGATTTAAAAATGGCTTAGGGCAAGACAAACAACAATCCAAACTATCACACTTTAAACCACTGGCTTGTAACTGTTTTTCCTATATATGGAAAAACATTACATTACATATTTGACTGTTTTCTCTTCAAACTTAGTTGTAATATTACTTCTCAAGGAGACCTCCACTGACTTTCTTAACTATACATAACCCAGTTTAACCCGCCTCTCAACTTGCAATCATACTTCTAAAAAACTGTCTTTTCTATTCTCTACCTCTTCAAATTGGAAGGCAAGAGATTTTTGTGACTCCAAATGTCTGGGTTTTTGCCTTAATGTTGGCACTTTTACAAAACCCAAGTACCAGAAGGTTAAATATCATGTTTGGTCAAGGCATGGAGCATAGAAAAGATTCTTCTGGCTTGCAGGAAGAAAGTTTTTTAAGGAGCTTTGCCTTCTACCAATCACTACAAAAATTCACTTCACAAGGAATAGAAGGGGCAGATACTAGCATAATAAGAAACAAATGGATTTTTTAAAAGAATAATGTTTGGGACAAATTTCAAGCTAAAAGTTTAAGAAGACTCTACAGTTATTTGAAATAGAGAAAACAGATAAATAAGATGAATAGGATATAACATAAATGGAGGGAAAACAAAGTAAAATCTGAAAAGTAAAATATTGAAACCTGCAAAACTTAAAAAAAAATAACACCTCATTGTGATAAACAGGGAGAATTGAGTATGGCCTCATTTTTGGAACAACTCAACTTGTGAGGAAAAGGGTTTATGAGTGGACAGTGATCAGCATGGAAAGCCTGTCCTCAGGATTGCAGCAGAGAATCTATCAGAGTTTGAGGCTGGTCTCCTTCTTTCAGAAGATTGGCTACTTCTTTGAACAAAGTTGCAGCCTCCTGTTGTATCTGCTCTCATAGGCCTGTTTTAGGTCTTTCTAAGATCAGTAAATGCTTACACTCTAGTATCTCAGCCCTTACTCCATGTGCTACAATGCAGGGGAATAGTCTTTATGTGTTAAATTGCTGAGTTTTAAAATACTAGTAGACAAAGAAGGAGGAGGAAGAGGAGGAGGAGGAGAAGAAGAAAGAAATAAATGGCTCTCCTTTTTCCAGTGTATAAACATTTAAAGTGACTTTTCATTATAAAAAGCATGACAATATAACCCTTGCAAGTCTTTTTGTTGTACTCTTACGCCACTATGAGAAGCTGGTATTGGACATTGTGGCCACATTGATGACTAGCTTTCATCTTAGCTATTAAACACAGCCACATGTGACCTATGTGAGATACCCCAAAGGAAGGGAACTGAGTGATTCTTCCAGAACTAAGGCACAAGATGTTCCCTCCAGGTGTCTAGAAAGAGAAGAGAGCTACTCAGCATACACAGCAAGGAATTGAGTGATTTAAGCAGACACCCCAGGTAGACTCAGCTGCCCAGCAATTACTTGGTTTGACATGAAAGAGACAAGAGATAGGTAGAGTGCTAAAGAATCATGAGAAGTGAGGGGCTAGTTTGGAGCAGTTCAGGCTGTGATGTTTTTAACTAATGTGTTTAACAACATGATCCTTTGCTTGACTTAGTACAACTTGAATCTAAAGTAAAGCTGCTGTAATGTCCCCAAGCATTATAAAAGGCTATTTCTTGAAGACTGAACACAGGATATGGTGGCATCTGCTTTGGGGAGTTCCAGATGAGGACTGGAAAGGGGCCACAGCATTGGTAGTGGTGGTGGTGTGGCCTGGACACAGGTTGTCTATCTTGACACCTAGTCTGCTACCTACCTGGAATTCATTTCTACACAGGTTACTCCACCTTGTTCTACTTCACTTTTCTTATAAAGAAGGAAATTTATACATGATGAGTATGGAGATAAGTTAGTTAAAGAACACTATATGCTTGGCACAGTGCTGAATGTTTGTTATTTCTAATTTTCTAAAAATCCTTATCACTATTGTATAAGAAATAAGTTCTTATATCTGTTATTACTGTACCTACAGGAAAATACAACCCACAGTATTTGGAATTCACTTTCTAATTATAGCAGAATGCAGAATGAATCCATAATGACCTAGCACAGTGTAAATATTTTGACATGGATGAAACATTAACACAGGGAAATGTTTATAGCTAAGCTAATAAAATTTTGTTTTAAAGACTGGCTGAAAACAGAAAGGAAAACATGACTTTCAGATATTTTCAAAGAAAAATTTCTGAAAAGTAAAGAATTTGAATTTTGATTTAAAGAATCAATCACAGCACTCACTCAGCTTTGGTGTTAGGTACCAGGGAAGTGCTAATTAAAAAGATATGGTCCTTTAAAACATTAATCATATCTCATTGTTTTACTTTTGAATAAAGGGCTAGCTGATTCTGAAATAAAACAAAAGCTAAGACGATGTTATTTTAAGCAAGCAAGTCAGGGGTCTTCTTGAACTACTACCACTGCTTGAGTAAAGAAAGCCATGCCCTAATCATTTAGAATCTTGCTGAGAACATTTTGACTTTTTTCTGTCCTCCCTACTGTAAAATAACATTTCTTAGTTGATAAAAGTGGTAACTCACACTTCCCCTTTATGTTCTTGCCCTCTTTTTCCTAGATGCTTGTGAACTACCACCACCATTTGAAGCTATGAAACTCAAGGGTATATCTAAACCCTATTATGACATTGGAGAGACAATAGAATATAAGTGTAAAAAAGGATACCTATATCTGCCTCCATTCCTCATGGTTACTACCTGTGAACCAAATCATACATGGGTCCCTATTTCAGATGAAGGTTGTATTAGTAAGTAAATTCAACTTTTTTGTTTGTTTGTTTGATTTTCAGACATTTTAGGATGGGGTGCATATACCCCTATTGCAGGGATAATTTTCCTATGTGAAACAAAGATTTAATTTAAAAGTAAGTATTTTTGTTTTCAGGCTTTGAGATATTTATAGGGAATCTCTTTTTCTTGACCTTTAGTTGATTGCATAATTGCTAATCTTGTACTTGTCATTTGTATTAATAAAACACCATGGCTAGGGCAACTTATAAAAGAAAGGGTTTTATTGGACATATGGTCTCAGGGGGTTAGGAGATTAGGGGGTCCATAATGGTGGCTCAAAGGCATGAAGAGCTGAAAGCTCACATCTCAGAATGGCAAGTAGGGTCAGAACATTTACTGGGAATGGCACAAGTCTTTTGAAACCTCAAAGCACACCCCAACCCCCGTGACAGTCTTTCTCCAGAAAGTCCACACTTCCTAATCTTCCCCAAACAGCCACCAACTGGGGAATCACTATTCAAATGCCTTCATGGAGGACATCTTATTCAAACTACTACACCCTTATAATATAAATCATTAAATAATCCACAAACTCAAAAGAACCATGAACGATTTTGACTTTGATTCAAGTGCAAACTGGCCCTGGAGCTGGATTAAAATTTTTATTGTTATTTTCTTCTAGAAGTGGAATGTACTAAACTAGAGAACCCATCATTTGGCAACATACACTACATAGATGGCAGAATTTCATGGGGTTCTCGAGCTCAATTTACTTGTATGGAGGGGTAAGTTGCTCCTTATGGGAAATAAGGTAAATGTTCCTGATCCATTGTTTTACTTTTCTTTTTAATCATTCAAGTAAATTTACTTTTGTTTACTATATGACAAGTTGTGCTCCTATCTGACAATATTTGGGTACTTTTTGGAGATAGGGGGGATATTTAATAAAGAAACTGAAGGAAAACAAATACTTGCTGTTTCCAAAAATAAGTCTATGATAAACATTAAGACTTGGAATAATCTGCTGTGGATGATGGTTCATACTTGTAATTCTGGCACTCAGGAGGATGAGGCAGGTGGAGCTCCTTGAGTTTAAGGGCAGTTCTGGGATACACAGTGAGTTCCAGGCCAGTATCAAAAGGGGGTAGGTAACTATGGTGACCTTATCCTTCACAGTCAGGTATACTTACTGCAAATTCAAAGTGAAAGTGGGGGTTTCGTGAAATTGAGGTAGAACTGCTAACCAAAGGAGAATTCTATATACCTGAAGTGTCTCAAAAAGGGACATTAGACACTGAGAAACAGTCTTTACTCTCTAGGGCTCTCACAGAAGTAGTTGTGAGTCTTGGAGAATGTTTGCTGTGACTGTAACAGAGAGTTTCAGGTAGTAATCTTTTAATCTAATCAAGTAAAAGCACATTCAGTCAAAGCTATGTGGAGGAAATCTTCTAGGTATTTTTAGGGAACCAAAAGTTCAATCCATAAATTCTTCTGAAAGACATTATAATCTTTTTGAGAAACCCAGTAAATACAGAAGTGATCAGACAAAATAATAACGAATACCAGATAGTAACACTTCATGGTGATGACATGAGAGCCCAGAATAATAATCCGTGAATTTAAATCTTGGGGAGACTTGATAGCATTAATCCTTAGCTGTTCCTAGAAAGACATTATGATCATAATATTAGTAAGCGATAACATATTACTTCTATGTGTTAGTGGCTGTGTGCCACTCTAATTTATATAATTATCTTGAACAATCCTGAGTTGTTTGATTTTTTTTTTTTTTTTGTGACAGGGTTTTACTATGTAGGCCTAGAGCTTTTGTTGTGTAGACTAAACCAGCCTTGAACTCACAGAAAACATGCATGCCTTACTTCCCAGGTTCTGGGATTAAAGTTGTATACCATCATACCTAGGTATTTGTATGTTTTTAATTGAGGAACAAAAGAAACTTTAAATGGTTTGCCCAACCTTAAGTAGCCTGTCAGTCATGGAGATAGGACTGGAGGCCAGGCAGTCCTTCCTAGGGAATCCTTTCTCCTCTCCTTCATACTCCAAGAGCAAAATGGATGAGCAAAGACACAAAAGCAGAATAATGTAATTGAAGGAGATAGCAAAGATACCAGGTCACATCAGATATGTTTAGACTTCATACCTCTTGGACAGTGTGTGTTTACAAACTCTCCATCTGATCAACATTTAGTTAGATTTGTTTAGTGCTTTCGTTATACCTTATTTCAGAAACCTATCCCTCAAACTACTATATTAAGGGAAAAAACTATCTAAAACTATCTTTCATTATTATGTGTATCTTACCAGCTGCCAAAGAAAACAGTAACTTTTTCTTTGCTCATTTAGTCATTACTTAGTTGGTATGTCAGTTCTACACTGTGTGCTTAAAAGTGATGATCATGCATATTGGAATGGTCCTTCCCCACATTGTGAAAGTAAGTACATTTTATTTTTAAAATTTAGACTATCAGTTCTTAAACATTTTGGTCTCAGGACCCTATTATGATTTTAGATTAATAAATACCTAGAAAACTTTTTTTGTGGTTATATCTATTGATATTAATCATTAGGATTAGAATGGAGATAATGTAAAATAATTATTTCTTTTTAAGGGCAATAAAGTCAATACATGCTACTATAGCTCACATGTTTTTATTGAAATTTCAAAAAGTTGAGACTAGGGACACTGCTTTATGATTTTGCAATCTCTTCAATATTTGGCTTAGAGAAAGATATTGAGAGTTAATCTGTTTATCAAAATTTTTAGCTTCTGCAAAAACATATTGTACTGTGAGTATGAAAATGATAAATAATAGTATGTCAGTATGATTGTAAGCTACAAGCCTACTGAATGAATGCACCTCTACCTTAACACATATTTATCAGCTAGTATTCAGTTTAGTTTTTTCAAAATCACAGTTTTCATTAAGTTGATCAGCATCTCTTCTATTGAGTAGGATAAAATTTAGCATGATCTTACAAATAAACTGGCATTCTTTCCCTTAGGAAAATGTCCTAAAAGATCATTTCTATATTAGTGGTTTTAATTTGGGGATTAAATTAAATTTGGGGATTTTGTCATAGAAACCCTCTTCTAGATGAAAATTGAGGTTGTAAATAACTTAAAGAAATCCTGTATTGATGCAATTAGTTATAGAACTTTCTAGCGCTGTCTTGAATAAGGACATGACCTTGCCTCTTACCTTTATTTCCATTTTTTTCTTTTTATAAAGAGGTTTATTGTTCACCACCTCCAAAAATAAAAAATGGAGCACACACCTTTGGTGATATAGATGTATTCAAGTACCGTGAATCAGTAATTTACAGTTGTGATCCTAACCTGGGGCCAGATAAATTTTCCCTTGTTGGAATGAGCATGCTATTCTGTTCTGGCCATAACACCTGGAGTAGCAAGCCTCCAGAGTGTAAAGGTAATCATCTTTTCTTTATTTGTAAATAGTTTTCTCTAAAAGTAAAGATAGTGAGCATATACCCTTCCTCCTCTATGAAACTGTTTTCTAATTCAATTTCATAGCTGTGGAGTTAAATTTAAAAATAATTCTAATTATGGAGTTTCCTTCTCATTTCTGAGAGTATGAGCTACTACCTATAGCCATGAGGTAGGATACTTTTGTTTGAAAGAACCAAAAACTCAACATACATTGGCTGGAAAATAAGGAAGTGTTATCTTGTATTATAAGAAAATGGAACAGTCTAGTTTCAGGTAATGGCAGAGTGGATTATAAATAGCAGCCCTCTCACTTAAAGAATGGTAAAATCTAGAAAAAAAGTTTGGTTTTTGTATTGTTTTGTTTTAATTCTAAAATGTTTAAGGCTCTAAAGAGTTACCAAAAACATGGAGACACTGAAGGGTTTTTCTCTTGAGAGATACCACTGAATCACAGCAAACATTTATCCATATCTGCAAAGTAAAAAAACAGTCTAGGTGTTAAGACATTTTTGTTTTGTTTTGATGTTTTTTAAACTTTTTTTCTTATTTTGACATAAAGCCTCACTATGTAATCTTGGCTGGCCTAGAAATTAGGGTTAGAGATCCTCCTGCTTCTGCCTCTCAAGTTCTGGAAGTGAAGGTGTATGTATTAGCCTGGTGACTAATAGAATTTGTTTTATTTACTTTTAGCTTATGTGCATTGGTGTTTTGCCTGTGTGTATGTCTGTGTGAGAGTGTCAGCTCTTGGAATTACAGACAGTTGAGCTGCCATGTGGGTGCTGGTATTTGAACCCTGGTCCTCTGAAAAAGCACTCAGTGTCTTCAGCACACATCTCTTCAGCCCCAACTAATAGATTTTATAACAAATATAAAAATCTAGTAATTGAAAGTATGTCACCTAATCTCAAGAAATAAAAGTAGATATTAGGAAAGAAATCCACAAAAATTGAAAATTATGTAAGATATTTCTAAATAATCTACTGGTAAAGAAGTCAGAAGGAAAATTGGGAAGAATGTGAAATATGTAAAAATGAAAACAACCTCAGAAAGTCAGAATTTGCCAGGGTTCACCTGAGGTATTACTTCCCAGCACAAAATGTTTGCTTTACAAAACAAAAAAATTGTAAACAGGGACCTAGGAACCTATTCCTAGCCTTCCACTGTAATATCTAAAGAGCCAATTAATCCTGAGTAGCAAGTTGCAAGAAAGTGATAAATATATAGTAGAAACTGAAAAGGGAGAAGGAAAAAAATTGAAACCAACATCTGAGTTTTGGAGAATATGGATAAAGTAGGTAAACCTACAACTGGTGTGTGTGTGTGTGTGTGTGTGTGTGTGTGTGTGTGTGTGTGTGTGAGAAAGAGGGGGAGGGAGAGGGAGATTGGAGGAAGGAGAACTAGGAACTAGTATTAAGGATGAAAAGGAAGACATCACTAAGGATCCTTCAGGCAGTTAAAGATGATAATGGAGGGGGCAAGATGGCAGCGCCGGGAAGACTCTCATTCTGAGGAGCAGCACAGCAGGATTGGCACAGTGACCAGCAATCAGAACTCGTGGCCATAAAACACAAGTGGTTGTGTTTCTTAGGTGAGAGGATACCCCATGGTGGGGGATTCGATCAGCTTTAACTCACCCGGCTAAACCGCGGAAGAGATCCCCGTTCCGCCAGGCGCTTGGTCGCCAGCCCAGAGCTACCCGCCAGTGCGATCTGGTCACGGTCCCAGACTGAACTGTGGGCCCACAACACCATAGACTGGATTTCCCAGTCGAGAGATAACCCCACGGAGCAGGAAACAATTGGGACCGACCCCAGGTTGCCCAGACATCCCCTGGAAAAGACTCGGGTTCCGCGGGTGCCCCAGGAGCCAGCCCGGACCCAGAGCCGGGAGGGACAAAGGCGCCTGCCTGCACAGAGCCCTGCCTGCGCGCGTGATTCGCCGCCTCAGATAGAACTGTGGGCACCAGGGCAACAGGGCACCAGACTGCGTGTCTCTGGCAGGAGGAAACCCCCAGCGGAGGGGGTCAGCAGCTCTAACGCTTAGGACACCCAGCACCAAAACACTTCCTGGATTCACGCAGACTCTAGTGCAGGCAGGAGCACTGTGCTCTGCCGCCATTGTTGCGTTCCCCTGGGGCACTGGGACACACAGCTGCATCCTCGGACCTGCAGGAGCCGAAGAGCCATTACAGCAGCCCTCAGATACTGTGCCAGGGATCGGCCAGTTGTCCCTGGCTGGACTGCCAAAACTGTAGGAATCCCTGATCCTTCAGGGGGGCTGCACCCACAGCGTCTGGACCAGAGTGGTGCCTACAGCCGCCATCCCAGACAGGGACACACAGCTTCTGGTCCACAGTGAGGCACCCAGCCTCCAGACCAGAGCAGTGCCCCCAGGCGCCAACTCAACCTAGGCGCACATTCTCCAGGTCCAGAGCAGAGCAATCAGCCTTTGGCCCAGAGACTTGCTGAGTGCACCTCCCACTTTCTCAGACAGAACTGTGCGCCCCAGGATAACAGACTGAGTTTCCCTGTTGGGAGAAAACCCCATAGCTAGGGAATCAGCAGTTTCTTCAAGAGGACTGTACATGGAAATTTAGTGAGCAGCAGCACACTAAATTTATAACAAGAAACCCAGCAGTGGGGCAGCTGTCTTGAGAAATTTTATGGGTAAGAGGAGATCCCCCCTGCCTAACATAGACCACAGCTACTACTCAGGGCTATAAACCTGAGGTGAGCAGTGGCAACTCCGGAGAAACACTGGCCATACAGTGACCATAACCAAAAAGCAGAGAAGGACTCCTTCAGGAAAAATCATCTTCCGGCCAAGGGGATACTCCCTACCTCAGGACTCCAGGAAGCACAGAAACTAACAGCCAACACCTAAATCAGCCCAATGGGTAGAGGTCAGCGTAAAGGCTCAACCAACAAAAGACAGAGCAATATGGCATCTCCAGAACCCAGCCATCCAGGGGCGAACAGCCCTGAACAAGGCAGCATAATAGAAAATCAAGAAGATGACCTTACATCTATGTTGATGAAGAGAATAACAGAGGAAACAGATAAAATACGTAAAGAATTAGAGGAAGATAAAACCAAACAGATCATGGCTATCCGTAAAGAAATGGAGGAAGATAAAGACAAGCAAATTAGGGCCATCCGTGAAGAAATACGGGAAGATGCAGCCAAACAGCTTGTGGCCTTCAGAGAAGAAATAATTAAATCACTGAAAGAAATCAAAGAGACAGAGTTGAAGGAACTAAAAGAAAAAGAGGAAAATACAAGCAGACAGGTGAAGGAAGTAAACAAAACAACTCAAGACCTGAAGATAGAACTAGAAAAATTAAAGAAAACACAAATGGAGGAAATAATGGAGAGGAAGAATTTAGGGAAGAAAACAGGAACTACAGAGGTAAGCATAACCAACAGAATACAAGAAATGGAAGAAAGAATCTCAGGTGTAGAAGATACAATGGAAGAAATCGATGTATCTGTCAAAGAAAATGTTAAATCCAAAAAATTCCTGACACAGACCGTCCAAGAAATCCAAGACAATATGAAAAGACAAAACCTAAGAATAATAGGAATAGAGGAAAAAGAAGACTCCCTTCTCCAAGGCCCAGAAAATATTTTCAACAAAATCATTGAAGAAAATTTCCCCAAGTTAAAGGAGAAGCCAATAAGGATACATGAGGCCTACAGAACACCCAACAAATTTGACCAGAAAAGAAAATTCTCCCGCCACATAATAATCAAAACAGGAAGTATACAGAACAAAGAAAAAATACTAAAAGCTGCAAGGGAAAAAGGCCAAGTAACATATAATGGCAAACCCATTAGAATCACACCTGACTTTTCAACAGAAACTATGAAAGCCAGAAGGGCCTGGACAGATATCATGCAGACCCTAAGAGAACACAGATGTCAACCCAGGCTACTATACCCTGCAAAACTCTCAGTCCTCATAGACGGAGAAAACAAGATATTCAATGACAAAAACAAATTTCAACAATACCTACACACAAATCCAGCATTACAGAAGACACTGGAAGGGAAAATACAACCCAAGAAAATTAGCTTCTGTCAAGAAAACACAGGAAATAATTAACCTTACTATAGCAAAACGAAAAGCAACCAAGCACACAAACTTATGAACACAGCCAACATCAAAATCAAAGGATCTAACAGCCACTGGTCATTAATCTCTCTCAACATCAATGGACTCAACTCTCCAGTAAAAAGACACAGATTAACAGAATGGATACGTAAACAAAACCCAGCAATCTGTTGCATACAAGAAACACACCTAAGACACAAAGATAGACATTACCTGAGGGTAAAAGGTTGGAAGATGACTTTCCAAGCAAATGGACCCAAGAAACAAGCAGGAGTAGCCATTCTAATATCTGATAAAATAGACTTTCAACCAAAATTAATAAAAAGAGATGAGGAAGGACACTTCATACTCATCAAGGGAAAATTCCACCAGGAAGACTTCACAATCCTGAACATCTATGCCCCAAATACAAGAGCACCCACATTTGTAAAAGAAACATTGATAAAATTTAAACCACATATAGATCCCCACACATTAATAGTGGGAGACTTCAACACCCCACTCTCAACAAAGGACAGGTCAACAAAACAGAAATTAAACAAAGAAACAATATCTCTGACAGAGGTCATGAATCAAATGGACCTCACAGACATCTACAGAACTTTACACCCAAACACAAAAGAATTTACCTTCTTCTCAGCACCTCATGGAACCTTCTCCAAAATAGACCATATAGTTGGTCACAAAGCAAGCCTCAAGAAGACTGAAATAATCCCTTGTATCCTGTCTGATCACCATGGAATAAAGCTGGACTTCAACAACAACAGAAATAGCAAAAAGCCTACACACTCATGGAAACTGAACAACTTGTTACTAAATGACAGCTGGGTCAGGGAAGAAATAAAGAAAGAAATTAAAGCCTTTCTA